TAACTGATTTTTTTTATTTTTTATCTTTATTTAATTTAATCTCTATCTGTAATTTTTTTCAATAGAGATTTTTATTCATTCTCTTTTTCAATAAAAAAGTTAGCTGAGAATTCAAATAATATAATAATTATTATAGAGTTTCTTATAAAATAGATATTAATTATAGAGATTGTTTTTTTATTTATTACTACTGAGAGCAGATTTTAATTTAACTTATTTCTTAATTTAAAAATTATTTTTAAGCTCTAAAGTTAATTTATTACCTCTTTATTTGAGAGCTTTAGAATAAAATATTATTTTTTTAACTGATTTAGCTTTTCTTATTTTAAAGCTTTTTTTTTTTCTGATTTTAAGCTCTTCTTTTTCTTTAAGATTTTCAAAGATACTAATTGAGCAGAAGTAGAAATAGAAGTAGTAGCTGTTATAGTGCAGCTGCTTATATATGAATTAAGATTGATCTACTCTGCTATACTATAAAGATTGATATGTTTTAACCTCAATCATATTCAATTACTCATGTTAATCTAATCTAATTCTCAATCATCTATATATTCAGCTACTTATTTATTCTTCATTTTAATTTTCAGTTTAGTATTCTCATTACAGCTATATAGTTAAATAGATAAATTGAAGCTATTATTTTATTATCATTCTGACTCTAGTTGAGTTATGATATAATACTAAACTTTTCTTTCTTAAAAAGCTTTAAAAATTTAGTAGTAGATCTATATTTGTATATTTATATTTGTATTTGTATGAGCTTCTTAGTGATTGTGACTATGTTGAATACTGAAATTTATATTTATATTTATATCTATATCTATATCTATGTCTATATCTATATTTATATGAGCTTTTTAGTGTTTGTGACTGTGCTGAGTGCTCAAAATCTTTATTAATTTTTGCCTTTCTTATCTTTATTTTAAAAGCTTTTCTTGCTATCATTTATCAGAAATTTAAAAGTGCTATCAAAAAGCTTCATCAAAATCAATAGCTCTTAATCTTGATCTTAATTTTGACTTATCTGAAATTATCTCTGTTAGACCTCAATCAAGTTCTTAGCAGTCTATATTACTAAATTTGAATATATTCTCTATGAGATCAAAGCTCAAAATTAGCTAAATTCTTTAAAAATATCTTAATTTCATTAAGACCTTAGTATATTAATTTAAAATTGTCTAACTCAGCTAAACCTCCTTCAGATCTATAAAAAATTTCTATATGTTATCCTGTAATTAGCTTCTAGTTCCTTTTATTTATTCTTGCTATATACTTCTTAGCTGATCTAATTGAGTATTTGACTTACTCTAATCATTTAACAGCTCAGCTCACTTCAATAGTCTGACTCACTCTGATTACTCTAATCACCCTGATCATCATAAATATCATAACTCTATAAATCTCAATCAGATTTAAGTTAATACTTTTGATTTTTTAAATGATTTTTTATCACATGCTTTGTTAATTTCATCCTCTCAACAGGAAAAATTTCATCAAAAAGGCTATTGTATACACTGTCAATCTTATAATCATTGAGTTAAAGATTATCATTTTCATTCATATTCTTTTAAGTTCTATTACTATTAAATTGTCAAAAAAATTCTAGTCTTTAAGCAAGAATCTGATGATAACTCTGATGTTAGTAAGATATGAAAGAAAATCTATAAGTATATAATGAAGAATGATCAAAACAGTTAGTCTACTGATAAGCTTAATGAATTTTCATTTTACTCTTTTCTTGCTTCTAATATAGCTACTTGAAAGTAAGTACTTTTTTAAATTAAAAAGTAATATTATAGCACAATTGCTTGTATATAAATTAAGATTGATTCATCTTACTACACTTTAATGATTGATCTAATCTAATTTCAATTATATTCAGTTACTCGTATTGATCTGATTTGATTCTCAATCATATTTACTTTAAAGATTGATCTGATCTGATTTTCAATCATCTATATATTCAGCTGCTTATTCATTCTTCATTTTAATTCTTAGTTTAATATTCTCATTGCAGCTGCTTAGTTAGATAGATAAATTAAAGCTATTGTTTTATTATCATTCTGACTCTAATTGAGTTATAACAGTAGCTATTTATGTAAAAATAGACTTTTTAACTACACTTTATGCTACTTTTGATTTATTTTGAGTAAGAGTTTTTTATTTAGCTTGACTAGTTTGATACTAAAATAGAATATATATGATTAAGCTAGTCATATTCACTTTAAATTTAATAATTTTTTAAATTTACTTTGATAATAAAATTAAAAGATTAATAATCTTTTAATTTTCCTTTTTATATACTTGATTTTTTTAAGATAAATGCTATAAGCTATAGATTATTAAGTTGTTTAGTTTGATTTATCAATTTATCTCTTTTATTTTCTTTTTTAATCTCTTATTCAGAGAGTTTTTGATTAGTTTTTTTCTGAGTCTCTTTCTCTGTTTCAGATATAGAAAGTATTTTTTTTATATTTTAACTTTTATCTATAGATTTATATTTTTAATTTAATAAACTTTGATAAAATCTTTCTGATTTTACTATTAGTTTAATAACTAGACTAGATTTTTTAAGAGAATCTAATAAACTGAGATCAAATTTTAAAATCAATTAATAAAATCTTTATAAACACTTCTTGAGATACAGAAGAGATAGAAAATTAATGATTTCAATTCTGATTAAGTCAGAAAAGAAATACTAGTTTTTAATAGAAAAACTAATAAGAAAATATAATTTTTTATAGAAAAATTATTAAAAAGTAATTAATTCTATCTATATTAAAAAAAATTTTCCTTATACAACTAGTGTGCAACTCAATTTTTCAAAATAGATATAGAATCAATATCTATATTTTTCTTTATCAAAGAAAAAGTTGAATTTAAGTAAGATTTTTCTGACTTTTTGAAGAGAAATCAAGAAAACTAATATTATAAGAGAAATTCACAGATTTCACTAAACAACTTTTTCTACTGAAGCTTAATCAGATTTAGTTAAAGCTTCAGTTAATTTTAACGAAGTTTTAACTAAACTCTATTAAGCTTATTAAAGAATTAGTTAATGCTCAATTCTGTAAAATATTTTATAAATATATAATTAATTTTAATTTACCTTTATTTTTGATTATACTTAGCTAGTTTTAATCTTTAGCTCATAGTTTACAAAGGTTAAATGCAGGGACATTGAATCATGTGCTTTTCACTTTTCATAGGTATCTTTTCTACTATATATAGGCAAACTTTGATAAAAATAATATGACAAAATATTTGATATAACAGAAAGAAAATCAAAATTAACAGAGATTTCAAAGAGTTCAGATATATCTTTTCTCAATAATGAGTTGATAAAAACTTTTAAAAACTGTCTGAATTATTTTAACTTAATCAATCTTTTATTCGTTCAATTTTCATACTTTTTAAATTAAGTATTATAGGTTGATAATAAAAATTATTGATGAATATTTACTTTATAAAGAAAAATATATTTTTAATAATCAATTCTTTAAATCTTATCTGAATAGTATAAAAATTGAGAGGCTGATCAATTTTAATAAAAGTTTTCAAATAAGAGCATTCTTAAATCAAAATTTCTAAAATTGACTAAATTTTAAAAAAAAAATATTATTAGAATTTCAATTATCTAGCAATCATATGAATCTTAATAAATTCAGCTTTGATGATGATAAATTTGAAGATTTAATAACAAGTACTCTCTAGATTAGTAAAAAATAGTCTTTTATTATATTGCTCATATTTATATCAAATAGTCTTATTAACTACTTTTGTATAATAATACTTATATTGCTAGAAAGACAATTATCAAAAGAATATAGTAGATAATATATATGAAATGAGAATTCAAATACAATTTCATTAATATAAAATTTATACTGATTGAAATTAAATTTATATTAATTAAATCAATTGATAATAAAGTTTATATTCTTATTTGATATTTATTTTAAATTCATAGATTTTTACTTAATTCTTTTATAATCTAATATATATTTGATGAATTGATATATTTACATCTTGCTTATAGTAGAAAGAAAAGTATCAGAATTAATATAATAATAATTTAGCATTTAATTCACAGCAGCTTCAATATGTTCAAATGTAGAAGAATAAAAGTTTTTATTCAATTGATGAATTCACTTCTTGATCACTTTCTTCTGATGGTCACTCAATATTTAATTGATCAGAGCTCTTATATTTTTTGATCTTTTTTCTTTAACATGTTCATATAGAGTTCTATATAGAATTTTGAATTCTCATACCACATCTGTGATTTTTAAATTTGATTTTGATTTTATGATGTCTAATGCCATCTGAATCTGATCTTCCGAATATTTAATATTATTAGACATGGTGGTGGTTATTAGTTCTTGAAGATTGGTGATAAATATACAACAAAAAGACAACAAATAGATTTTCTTTACAGTGATATTTTCTTTATGGTGAGTGCGCGTGGCACGGTTAGTCATTCTCGTAGTTAGCAACCTTTGCATTTGATCAAGCTTGCCATTCAGTCATTTTCTTCTATGTTTACGTTGGTAACATGCATTACTCAGCATGCCGAGCATTCCGAACCAATTGCCGCGCCCTCTTCTCTCCTTTGAATCAATTTAGTTGTCGAAGTAACTAGTAACTACATTCTCGTCCAAGTGATGACCGGTTAAAAAAAACCCATGTATCCGGTTGTTTATTGACTCTATAGGGCAATTGTTAATCCAGTTCAAATGTACTATAATAAGACATATTATACAACTGACAAAAATTCAAAAACTTAAGACAAGAAAACACAGAAATCAATCAGCAAGGGGCAAGGTGAAGTCGTCTATGATAGAATTCATAGCTAAGGAGAAACAGCAAAGATAAGATATCAAAACCTCCTATAGCCTGTTTGCTTTTATATTTGAATGCCAATCATCATAATTAACCTTCTCATGCGCCAGCTGACTCATGCTCTCAGCGCATGCAGCCGTAATACCCATTTCTCCACCCTACTGATTCATCAGCCATGCAGGGATGCACATCTGGACGGTATTCCTATCGACGCGAGGTTTCTTTTCCCTGGTGTCATACTTTTTAGCTACAATGGACAAGCGCAAGGTCGAAAAGGCCATCCACGAAGGTTCCTTGCTGACACTGTAACTGATTATCGACTGCTCGCCTTGGTACCAGAGGTACGGATTGTTATTGGTTTTCTCCCAGAGGCGTTTATGTTCGCGTTTTTGCGGTACCCAGAACTTCGCCACGCGTTCCATCGCAGCTTTCTCAGCTTGGACTACACAATACCTGTGAAAAAAACCCAAAAATATAAGCATGTCTGATATCTATGAAACTACGGGGTATATGTGTAATATCTATCTCTAAAAGAAAACTTCCAGGTGGTTTTGGAAGGAGAAAGAACCTTCCATTCGCCTTTACGGGCTTTTACTTGTTCCTTTATGGGTGTGGTGTAAACGTCAGGCCAAACGTCAGGCCCTGTCTGCTGTAGGTGTTGTTGTCGCGTTTTTCCCTCCAAGTAAGGGTCTTATACTTGTTGAAATCTTTGGCTCGCTTCTGAATATACACACTTTTTAGTGCCAAGTTGTAACGGGTGGAGATAATAACACGTGTGATATAAATGATAACGGAAGAAGAACTTACTGCAGAAACGGCCAAGCAGGCAATGACCATTTTGCCCTTTAGATCTTTTTTGGCTCGTGTTTCCAGCTGTTTCTTTTCTGGACTTTGGTTCTCAACTGGGATGGCGGCGGTGGCACTGACAAAGGCGAGCGTCAGTGTCAATAGTTTAGCAAATGGAAGCAACATTGCGGCTACTAAGTGCTTAGATGGGTATCCAGTGAGAAGGGAAATGAGAAAAGGAAAAGAGAAAATGAAAAATGAAAAAGAATAAAGCAAAAAAGAGAAGGAAAAAGTGATGGAAAATGCGCAGTGCTGCCGTTCAACAGGATGTATGGTCTGTATATGAGATGGATCGTAGAACTTCAAGGCTTTCAAGGAAGCTCCTTTTCCTCTTTGATATATCTGGAGTTTCCGAAAAGCAGCATCTCTTCGGAGCGATCCGTTCCCGCAACTTCACAGGTCTATTCATCATGGACTGATATTCCACCGCAGCTAATTCGGGTGAGGAAGTGGGAAATGCACTGCACTCTAGTCAGTTGATATTTTGGGACGACTTCTCTCAGGGTAACCTGCATTAATAACGGCAATGCTATTTTCAATCCCACTGGCAAGGATTCTCGTACCCCTGAGCGGGAAGAAGACGGGAAAACTCAAGAAAACATGTCTAATTTTTTTTTTTAGTCCAACATCGGGGCATTTCATAATCAGCTCCCTCGTCCTTAGCTTCATGGATTGGGCTCTTAGAAAGGCGAAAGACTAAGGCCCACATTTCTTCCAAAGCTAGAGCAAGAATGATATTAATAAACGGTCGAAAATTGTTAGCGATACTCAGCGTGCAATAATGTCAAACCCAAGAGAAGACGACCGAGAAACAACGCACCATAAGTCTGTGACAAAACCACCGTGGGTGACGGATGGTTATTGCAGAAGTACAAGGATTAGACGCGCGAAATCAATCACTCGCATTGTTCTCCGTGATTAGAAGGCTTGCCAAGACAGATATCAGAGATATCTTTACGGAATGTGGAGTGGAGAGTTTGCAATCGACACATCTGTATAATTCTTGCTTAGCAAGAACTGTGGTTTGAAATGTCTTCCTTTTTTTTTTCTTTTTTTCTTTTTTTTTTTTTTTTTTTTTTTTTTTTTTTTTTTTCACAATGTCTAAGCAAACATGCCAGATGTATATCAATTGACTGAAATGTTATAACTCATGAATACTAAGTCGTATTGATCATTCGAGGCTAACTGCCGCTCAAAACTTCATTCTGGCAGCATGGTCAGTAAAAGATGAGATCTTAAATCATGGATCGACTTTTGTTTTATTTATATTTTTTTCATCCTGCCTGTTTTATTTTACTATTCTTATCCTCCGTAGGCTCTAGTCCATATCAAAGATGACAAAAGGACAGAGCCCAGAGCACAGTTCACGGGCATAAAAGCATGAGGCAGTTAAAATGTTTGACACTCATTCTTTAGCTCTCTGAGCAACTAGAACTAGATGTCAAACAATGGGTTGCTTCAAATGTGAAAGTGATCCAAGGTCGACCTCAATTGTCCTTTGCCCAACAATTGACTCTCTTCCTCAACAATATTTCACCAGGAGCTGCGCCTGCTCTGTCTCTTGTCCAGTCGAAAAGAGTATCATGAAGCACTGCCCAGTAGCTGGCCCTGGCATGGAATAACAAACAGGTCCCTGAGATTTTCCCTACAACGAACGCCAAGACTTGGTCAATAACATAATAATACTCCCTCTCCAACTGTGTGTCACGGAGTTGCCAGGAGGCACCGTAACAAGTGCTGGCAAGCCGGTGACTTGTAGGCTGATTAGTCTACGTAGAACTGAGAATTCCTTCACAGGAGACTGTGACGGTAGAATACCATCTTTTGAAGACCTTCACAACGGAGCATTAGCGGTTCGCAGAGTATGCACTCTAGGACCATCATGTTTGTCTAAAACAAAGCACTTCGGGTTTGAGAGGGCAAATTTCGAATCACCTCTTATGCCCAGAATGATATAATGATATATAACTTGACGGTGTGAACTTCGGCTGTAGGGAACTGATGATACAACGAATCAAGGCAAACGAATGCAGGTTTGGAGCTAAGGAGAATGCGGATAGTTAAAAAAGCTGTGAGAAGTGAATTGAAACCCATCCATAAGGTTAGCATTCAGGCTTGCGGATCACCTCTGCTCGGGCCTGAAGATTATGAGTTTGAATCCTACACACGCTCAAGCAATCTTCTCTTGTTGTGTAGTATATTTTAGTTCTGACAGCTATTTTTGGAATCACAATAAGCTTTTGTTTAAAAGTGCACCTGGTCCATCAATTAACTACAAGGACTATCCAAATCTTGTTTGATGAGAAAAAAAAAACCCTACTTTCCTCTGCCAATTCAAGTTGACCAGTGTTTCTATATTAGAGAGAGACTTAATATAATCTCTCAAGGATCAAGGCTATCCGCAAGAGGAATTCGGGTTGCGTTATACTCTTATAGGTCTTTGACAAGACCTGATATATCCTTAGAAGTGTCGCTGCACCTCAGGCCTGACATCTGTCCAGAACTTGCTTAAAACTAGGGGCGGAAAATTTTTAGCTTACAAACGTGAATCCAAAGCATCAATTGTCCAGAGAGCGGGGTCAAAAATAAAAACTGGGGAGAGCAGCGTTTATGACGAGGGTCAGTGTGTGGAACGAGTGATTGTAACCGTGAAAAATGTCTTTGCATGTGCAGCCTTCAAAAAAGCTGCATAAAATGGTCGAACTTATTATTATTGTGTTGGATGAGAATAGCCACAGATTTTCGGAACAGTAGGCCGTTGAAACAAGACCAGTTAAAGGGTTGTCGAGACGTATTTCCTTATGCTGATGAAGGCCTTGGGGCTCTGCAACTCGAGAGAGCTGGATCATTCCGTTGAATCAAGAGAATTTATAGCTGCTCCCACTACTCGAATAGTTACTTGTGCGACACCTTTCTGCATGCAACACTAACTGACTAAAGTCTCTGATGAGCTTTTCTTTTTCCCCCAACTGCGACCCAACCCCATGTTTCAGAGCTATTAATGGGAGATTTAGGATTTCGAAGACAAGAAGTGACAGTGCTGAGGGATTAGAGTTTCCTCCTGGCCATCGGTCCAAAATCTCGCATACTCGGATGATTGTAAAAATCGATTTAATTCGACTTAACTCTACTTAGAAATAGTGGACTTCGCAAAGTGAAATGTCAGAGCGTTTAACTTAAACTTGCATTCGTGCAAAATGTGCTTAGCTGTGATAACTTGAGGGCCCATGAACGATCGACGCTGCGTATTCCTTGTTGCCATATCCAACTCTGAGTGTGTCGAAGACTCCTATGAATTATCAAGCTGGATGACAGGGCTCTAAAGTCTAGTCTCCGAAATGCTCAGAAGAGCCGCAGCGCCTTCACTCGAGTTAACAGACGATTACGAATTAAAGGGAGAGAGCTGAGAATTCACTAATAAGAAGCTCTCTATGATGTTCAATTACATGTGGCGAGGAAGATAGTGCCAGTCAACTTGCGGCTGGCGCGGGTCGTTTCCTGCAGGCCAAGGGAATGCCAGAATCCCGACCACTCAGACGCTGAAGGTTTATTCAGCCGCCGTGGAGGCTGGGAATGTCCTGGCAGGATTTGGGGGGAAGACATCTCCTCCCTTTGTCTATATCTAGGGTTATAGAACCCTCCGGAGTGTCATATGAATTTCCAACATTTCGCAGGATATATAGTTACCAGGAAGTGAGCGAAAACATGAATGTGGATGTCATAGAAAATGGTGAGACGCAAAGTAACTACAATTCCACTGGCCAAAATGGATGTTAACAGAGATGTAATAGTTGGCAATGGGCCGCCATCGAGACGGAGGTCAACGTTAGAGGAGGAGCTGAAGCAGGTTGGTGAATTTCATTGATGTAGTCAATGGCATTGTCCAATTAGTTGGTTGCTCTATGTTTTGCGGGTCCCTACAAGTAACTTCGCCGGTACCAGCAACCCCACAATTCGGTTCGCATCGTGTATGTCTCGCCCCTATCATGGACGTCCCCGAAAATGTATCTTGCTGATGCATTTTGGACAGTTTTGGAGGCAGAAGAGAAAACTGGGCAAAATGGATACAGGCCAATCCGAACTGGGTGACAACCCTTACGATCCCCCAAGAATTTTGGAAAACAGCCACGGATGACTTGAACGGTTGTTCTAATGCAAAATATACCCTGGATAGCAATGGCTCAATCACAAGCCTTGGTAAGAATTTCCTAGAGAAAAATCCCATTGAAACTGGTTTGGCCTTTGCGAGGTTAAGAGTTTAACAAAACGCTAGATACGTGGTCCTGCTTCAAGATGAAGGAAGCCAACGCAGAGGATGAATACAAGTGGCATCAGATGACAATGTTCATCAGATGGAACTCGGCAGAACAGAATACATTTATCTATTGTTTCGATTTTTCCAAAAACGTGCTGGATGGATTGAACAGTCGCGTATCCTCCGTTGACCCAAATGATCCGTATGCTTGGCATGCTATTTTTATTAATGAACTCAGAGTGGTATACGATAAGTGTGTCTGGAAAATACGAAATCTAGTCCGCGACGCTGAAAAGGTTGAAATATTTCCCTTACGGAATATTCACTGCTTTGCTAAGTTAATATAGACTCGGAACGGAACCCACAGCTCCCGGCCCGATTTCCCCCAACTTCACGAGATTGCACGACATGCAATTCACTCAAACGAGACTCTAGATGTTGCAGTAGACACAATGGACAGCATCATTCACGAACACGGATTGTTTATTTTGCACCAGCGGAGCACTGGCCATGTGAGCCAAGAATGTACGCCTGGTTCACGGCCAATACCAAAGTTAGTAGCCGATGTCATTGAACGACAGCTGTACTATCATTTGAAGGAACTTCGTGCTATCAAAGCACGGTCCGAATCGTTGAAAGACCGCCTCCAGAATGAAATCAACTTGGTTCGACCTTTTTCCCGAATTCATGGTAATATTGCTAACAATGGCCTAGGGATTTAATATCGTCTCGCAAACAGATACCGCCACAATGAAAATTATATCTGCAGTGGGTTTGGTTTTTCTTCCCGGAACCTTCATATCAGTATGTGTAACCAGAACTTTCACTTAACATGTTCAATTATTTGTCTAACATTACTTCCATAGACTCTGTTTGGTATGAACTTCTTTGATTTCGCTGTTGATCAAAAGACAGGGAAACATACATTTACTGTTTCAAATAACTTCTGGCTATACTGGGCAATAGCTACTCCGGTGACGGTGGCAGTGATACTTGTTTGGCTCTTATGGCACTACTGGTATCTGATAACACGGAATGCTAAACTACTTTGGAAAAAGCTAATGCATTTTACTGAATTTTCTTTTGGAGGGGAGGCGAAAAAGACAGATGATAGCTTAATTTCACTGCCCTAATAAGGATAAGAAGATACACGAAGTCTGGGCGTCTAACGTGTTGGACTTCAAAATTGAGCGAACGGTATATTAAATGATGAACCATTACTGTGTACGAAGCACTCCATTGGGGTAAACGAGGATGAAAATGCCAGAAGACTTGGGACACAGGGTTTATCACCACTTCTCTTTTCTCATAATAGGTTTCAGAATTGGATAGTGATCCCACGAAAAACTGCAGGATATTGCAATATGATCAGTTATGGTTTGTATATGGGCTCTATATAGGGAAACTTTGTCATGATTTTTTCTATGTGTGCTGCTTGCTGGAGGACACTTTTTGAACTTGACATCACAAATCTTGTTTCACTTCTTTTCTTTCTCTCCTACTTTTTTCTTTTTCCATTTCCGTGTTCGAGTCTCAGATTTTGCCTTAACTTCGGATACATCTATCTATCTATCTCTACCTTCGGATTTACATATTTATTTGGCATGTTTTCTTAATTGTAGTTATTCTTCGTCCTGTCTTGGTTATTATTCATATCTCAATTTGCTGTGAGTATTTAACACACTAGTCTGTTAATAATTTGTTCATAGGAATGGAATTGCGCTCGAACGTTCTCCCAGGAGTCTTGAACCCTTTTCCTCCAGGAATCCCAGTGTCCCCACCTACTTAACACCTTTACCTAGCAATACATATCGGCACCATCTCTGCGTGCTCCTGTGCCACTGGAAATTTTAATCGGTGACATTCCAGTTGAATATGATAAATCTCCTAAAAACAGTAGTTTGTTGCATTATTGTTTTTCGGTAAATAATTCTCCAACGATCGATTACACATGACATTAAGTAACTACTGGGAATTTGAAATTTTGAAGTTGCCATCCCTGAGGACCATTTGGTTTTTTACTAAAACTTGTTTTCCACTTCTGATGGACCACGTTTGCAGTTTTCTATGTTCCATCGTATGACATTTATAAGTTATTTCATTCTCGAAAGTGTGTTTCAGCTCCGAGGCGCAAGTGTCGTTGTCGAATACCAGTGGTGGAGCTGCTTCTGATTTTGGGTTTGGCTAGGCATGACATTAGTTAATCTAAGAGGACCGATATCTATCTTTTGCATTGTGGGACTAAGCGAGCTAGCTACAACTACTAAATACATAGGTGCACATGATTTCGGGTAACCAGGGCATCCTCTAACAGTTAACATTAGTTAATGTAATCCACAACCGAGCAGTGAATTCTTTCTGAAAATCATCAGATATTCAATGTATTCAACAACCAACACACTTAAATATTAAAAAAAATTAATAACTTAAGACTATTTAATAGTTGAATATATTTGTTGGAGCAACTGTGTATAGTATGTTCCATAGTCCCACAGCCACTGCAGCATGGTGGAGCTTGCTGATGAGACATATTGTCATGGCTCAACTAGAGTCAAAATGATAACAAGACAACAGCTTCAATTCATCTATCTAACTAGGCAGCTGCGACGAGAATACTAAACTGAGGAGTAGAATGTGAAATGAACGAGCAGCCGAATATATAGAGGTGGTTGGGGATCGGAGCAGATCAACCTTCGGAGCAGAGATGGTTGGGATCGGAGCGGATCAACATGAGCAACCGAATATGGTTTGAGGTCGGAACAGATCAAACCTTCAGAGCATAGCGGGGCGGATCAACCTTAATCCATATACAAGCAGCTGCGCCGTAACACATAGCTTCAATCTGCGAGAAGATTTATGAATCTTATGATCAAGCTGATGAGTAATTTAAGATATTTGAAATGTTGAAGATATTGAATCTTTATCATTTTTTTTGCTTTAGCAAAATTATTATAAATATTATTTTAGTAAAAATCTTCTCACATATAAATAAATAAAAAAAAAAAGAATTATCTTTGTCAATATGATTATTTTCTGTAATTATTATTTCTTCAATCAGTTTTTCATATATGCATTTTAATGACTTAAAAACATTCATATCTAATGATTGAAGAAGTTAAGATATAGAAGCAGATATATAAAAATAGAATATTATATTATCTTTATAAAAATTTTCAAATTCTATAGTCAAATGACTATTATAATTTTTAATAATAAATGACTGCTTTAAGCTCATTAAATAGTGTTAAAAATATGATTTCAAATATCTTTTTAAGTCAATGTAGATCTATTACATCAGAAATTCAATTATTAGCACTCATAGCTATTCTTCAATTCTGAGAAAGAATTAATTTTTGATATTAAAATACTTAATATTTTTTTTTCTTTTAGAATCATCACTAATAAAATAAAACATTCTTTTGACTTTATAATTATGACTCATTCACAACTTCTCTGAATAACTATACATGACCTCTCATCACTTAGCTGCAGTAATGACTTTGAAAACTGTTATAAAATCTCATTGAAAAGTCAGTTTCATCAAAGTTTCAGATATCATCTTTATGATCTTATAATCTCATGTTCTTGAATAGCTTCATGTATCATCTTTAATCATTGTTTTATAATTTTTTGATTTATATGCAACTATGATCAACTGTATGTAAGATTTGAGATAAAAGACATTTTGAAGAAAAAATGTGAAGAAATGATGTGTTGAAGATAGTTTGAATATTTGATGACTTTCGGAGAGAATCCGCCGTTCGGTGGATTATGTTAACTTTAACTAGTTAGTTAGTTAATTAACTAAGCTTTAGCTTTAGAGCCAGATAGTCTGTGTGTCACTAAATATGGAACCCCTTTTTGTTCGTCTGAATTACATTACGATCTTGACGACGACCTATTAATCTCTTTATTTTTATCAACTAGAAAAACAAGTTTAACGTTGCCACAATATGATACGTTAACAGGAGAACCACTTGCATTTTCTCCCTTGTGCACGGGGTTTAATTATCCCTATTCTTAATTCCGCGTGGACTGTCCCAGGAGAAGTTTGGCGGCGAATGACTCAAGGAAGCCGATCAGGGACTCAACAATTGCCAATGAACAATCTCACATCTATGGTTACTAGGTACCCAGGTAAGTGAAGATGTCTCTGATTTTCAGCCGAAGTTGAGATGGTGTTTTTGTTATCTATCAATCTTCTGTGAGCAGCGAGAGTCACTGCTATTATATGACACCAACTGCATGTGATTTTGCCAACAATGTCTCACTTTTATGGTGATGTACTACTGTAGGTAAATGGGTGATGATGATTTTATTTCACAATCATGTGGTAGATACGGAGTAATTCTGTCTTTTTTAAAGCCTCTTTGTATGTTTACATGGTCATTCACTTTTTCATCAAGTCTGACTGAAAAGAATATGCGCCCGTCGAGGGTAAAGATCCCCTTGGGTAGTTACCTAGGACGGCCCTATAATCATGTACGAAATGTAATATTGACAACGACCTTTGGGCCGTTATTCGCCCCTAGAGGTATGATCGGGCTACACGGTCAAATGATCCCTCAAGGGCAAATCGTAAGCTTTAAGCTCGACTTCATATTTTCAATTCCGGCATTTGCTCCAGCTGCTTTACGGGTGCTGATATCGGTTGTTCTGTGCAAAAGGATTTGTCAGGGGGGTCAGCAGAGCAAATTACCATAATTTTTATAACGGTCGTCCTTGTTATTGGAACCCTTTTTCTCTCGCCGAAAGGCTATTGGTTACTCGCTATGTCATCTTCTCAAACCGATACTCGGAAAATGTGGGGGTAAGGTTTTTCAATTAGCAGAATGCTAGAAATAGTACAAGATCTTGGTTCGCCCAAAGCTTAACCTCCAGAGGACTGAACACCAGAATTGATACATGTTTGGCGGCAAGTTGATCTCGGAAAAGAAATTGAAGATTTCACCACATATATCGGAATGTGTCAAAAAGCAGCGTTTCTCCTATATCGACGAGGATAATGATTTTTCAAGAGGACGACAAGAAGTACTTACAGCTGAATTAGAGTCGGACAGCCCGTTGCGAGCCATGATTCGGAAAATGAGCAGAAATAGTCGGGCTGAGCGGTAAAGTAACGACAGCGCTAGTCTCATTCTGTATTCCTGAAGGAGATCGAGCGGATCCGAGCAGCTATGCATTAGATATCATTTTCTTCGCTTTTAATGAAAACCACACCCACATCTCCAACGATGAACAGGAGGTCAGTGCCCAGGCGCAAACGCATCGTGATGCAGGCCGGCAGGTCATCCGTGCTGTGCTCGGAGCGGCACGTCCACCTGAAACCCCCAAATGTTAAGAAATAAGTGTGGGGTTGGCGGCGAGAATGCCACTACTCTGATGTGTCCATCCCTCCTGCACGGACCGCAGGATATAGTCATAGTGTATGATGTCGCTCCGAGATCAGGGGAAACTTGACATACGGCATTTTCTGTGTTGATATCATTATAGGGATGCTATCGCGTACTCCATGTCAGAATCCCTGTGCGGCGTGAAATTTTTTTTTGGGCCATAACTGGGTTTTCTTGCTTCGGCGAACTATGGTCTGGAGTTCTACCTCAACGTATACCTTAGCCACAATCTAACTCTATACTCTGCTACTTCGACCGTCCGCGAGGGTCCAGGTTAGATACTTCATATAGATCATCTCTAGTTCCAACCTACCACCCCTGGATTCATTTTCCGGAGACAGGCTACCTAGCTACTGAAGCTAGGAAGAGATACTCAGCTGGCGAGTTAGTAGCTGCTTTGCCACAATCCATTTTAACCTCCAATCAGGATGGTGAAAGAGATGCGGCATGTTCTCTTGGTGCCAGTGGATTGACCCAAGGGAGTTGTCCTGCTCCATCATCTGGATCCTCACCAGCATTACTTTGGACTAATTTGAACCATGGTGGAAATGGGGAGAGGCTCACTGGTTTAATTCCTTACTGGTTGGTATTGTTGGATTCCCATCATAAGCATGGGTTGGCAGAAGGATATAGAACTAAATGATACATCCCGTATGGTAACTAACTATCTGTAATCAATCAGTATATAAGTGTGTTTGAAGAAATTTTCAAGACTAATTATGCGAAAGCAGCGTGGATTAACAAACACCTAAAAGCTACATGAAACAAAACTTTCATATCGTGTGTTGGTTAAGACTCCCCAGGTCTCTCTCTCTGGCCTTCATCACTGTCTTTCTTTGTTTGTCTGTTCCCCACCCAGGTCTTCTCTGTGGCGTGGTGTTTCCGATTGAGTTGTGCCACTGATTCATTTCAATATGATTTTGTCTTTCCTGGCACATCAATAACAATATCCTGCGAGCTGAATGGATGCGAAGGCAAAGACAGCTGTGGAGCCTTTCTCAAGAAATACTACATATCCATCACCCTTAAACTTTAGTACATACGCAGTAGGTACGTAATGATTTATTTACAGACTGCAGTCGTACAGAATTTACCACTTTTAGCTGAACAGCCACCAAGGCGGAACTGTGTATAAATGCACCGTTAGTGAAGTGAAAGAGGGGTGAAGAGCATATTAGAGTCGAGCTGAGTCCTACTAGATAGGTAGACTCCGTTCTGCTTGGTAGCCTTGCAGCCGGGTATGTAGGTCCTAAGGAATCAATAGGAGGAGAAATTAAAGGGATCTTTTTCTATTTTGGTTGCTACCTACCTAAGTTCAGTCAACAGATATTGGAATACCTAGGTAGACTAAATGGACGGTTGAAGCGTTCTGATTTGTTTGTTTCATGTATAAACTTTGCTGGGCGAACAGGCCTGGGAAAGGGCATATCCGTGGCCCCGTTATCTGAACCCAGGGGCCATGCAGGCCGCAGAAAAGATTCTGGGTTTAAACAAAACCACCCAACTATTTCCGAGCTACCATGTGGTGTTGATGATGGAGCTGAAAACGGCAGACCTGGGGTAAAATCATGCTTCTGGAATTCTTGTTGGCTGAACTCAGATTAGAGTTCAAGAGGCGCTCTAGTCTTAGGGCGGAGATATTCTCGATCGATCGACTGAAGGTGGTAGGCCTTCAGGTGTTTGCAAGATATCTGACGATTATTTACTTTCATGCAGGAAAACCAACCAAATGTCCAAGGCGTGAGGTTGAACGTGGTTTTTCAAAATCTCGGCCAGAAAAACCTTCAGCGTAAGACCATGACACCCATCATTAAAACTACATACATTAGTCATATCTCACTCATATATCTCTAACATCTCTATATTCTCTTGATGGAGGTAATGGTAGTGATTTTATCACCATTTCTCGGGTCCTTACCCTTGACTAACCCTAATCCTAACCCATAATCTACCCTACCCCTGGTGTTGAGGGCGGAGGTTGAAGAGAGATGTATGAGTAATATGTGGGGTGTATAGAGAAATGTAGACCGTGTTCCTTTCAGATGAGGTGACCAGAATTGATCGGGCTCAACTTATAGGCCCCTTTTAGAACCACGATCCACTGTAACCTAAGGTGTTCATATGGGCGTGTGTGTATGGACGGTGTGATGAGTGTGGAGGGTCAATCCTGAACAAGTTCCACAGGTTGACATTTGCACGGGCCACGTCCATGACAATTTATATAAAACGTAGGAAGGCGTGGAAAAAACGGAAGTTTATATCTGGCCCTTGGTGCAAGGGCCGAGCTGCGAACCATCGCTTTTTCTGCTAGGTTTCTAACCAAACTTTCCCAGGAATCCAGTTGGGGGGTGAACGGTCTGATGCTGACTTGTGTGGTTCCCCCCTATTTTCAATTCCATTTTTAATATAAAGGCATAGGCGTTTAGAGAATACTATTCATGATGGCAGTTGGAGGGTTGCGATTGGGCCCAGACATGCGCAGAATTATGCTCACAATGGCTCACATGTCACGGCGAGATCTTAGTCAATTGGTCTATGTCTGGCGAGCAAAAGCAAAGAGTTAAAGATGCAAATGGCGTGGAAAGGGCGCCAAGTCTTTATCTCTTCTCTTCTCTCTTCTTCTTCTCCTTTTTTTTTTTTTAAAACCCCCAATCTTTTATTTCTTGGTAGAGATGCTTCATTCTTGGAGACCAGTTGAGACATCAGCATGTTGACAAATGCATTATTTTTGCTGCTTATTTAGCCAAGAAGTGCATCCAGGACACTAGGAAGCAGGAAATTCGAACGAAATTTGAAATGATTGTAAGCTATACAAGGGAGTAATATGGATACATAGCTAGAGGTTGACTGTATTGAATATTTATCTCAGTGACTATAGAAAGGATATACGGAGTAAATATAGTGATGAAGAGCAATAGCCATTCAGGCTCTGCATCCAGGACTTGCAACAACACCAGGACCAGCTGCAGTAAACTAGCTTTTAGTTAAACATAGTTATAACTTCGCCGAACGCCGTGGCAAGCCCGCAGCCAGCGGAGAATTGAAAACGGGATCTCTGTATTATTCTCCTGGGTTTAGTCCTGATCATTGATCAAACAATGGCCGGTTTTTTACGATGTATTCCGACACCGGAAATAAAAAACTACCAGAATTTCTACAATAATAATAATAACTAAAAATAATAGCAATGTTTGGTATTGAAAGTCAATAAGGTTCTCGCCAAATACCCCGGACTTGCCCATGGTTTTCTGTGGAGTTTTGACCCGTATTGTTGCATCGAAAGGGAGGATACGGGAGGGTACTTCAAAATGCTATTTACTTGATAAGATAAAGAGGTATGATATAAGTACCTCAAGTATCTGACCGTATCATACCGTGCTGTACCATACTTCCGTACAAGCGATAACGTTTGTTCCTCCAAAATTGCAGGCAATTGTACCCTGGAACGCCAGACGCGGTTTAGCGCTACATTTCCTTTCAGGATAGGAGTTTCCAGTGAGTTCTGCGCAGGTAAAGACTTGGTAATAGGCGCAGTATTGCCAACGTCCAACGCCCTCCGTATTAGTATAGGTATGTACAGTACGGTACCAGTGTTGTAATAAACATCAAGTCAATTTGAAGCGATCAGCCTCCAACCTCCAAACGCCATTAACCTCAACCTCAACCTCCATCCTCGACTCTCCCCGTCCATCTTCTCCCTTCCCATCTCTCGAACCTCCCTCTACCCCTCTTCTTTCTCTCATCCCTTGAACACGTCTTCTTGCTACCCCTCTTTTGTCTGTTAGTCTTCGTGATCTCCTGTGGCCAGTTCTCCCGCTGTCTTGGCTGGCGCCATCAAGTCTCAACCCGTCTGTGTCTCTCCTATCCGTGGACGCAATCTTGCTGAATAACCCTATTTCACACAACTTGCAGACGGGAAAGCCTGCGCAGCTACTCTGTTCGCAGTACAACTGAGGATATTGGTGGAAGAGATTTGATGAGATCCTCTGCCGATTAGTCTTCTGTTTACCCCGGTTTTCTCGTGGACCTCCGACCTCCGACCGCCATCTCCCGAAACTCATATTAGGGGCTACAATTCTATTCAGCTGTCGACCAACCTGGGTATTGAGCCGGTTGATTTTGAACGGAAGGTTACAGTTGACACTGGCTGCAGTCTCTTGCAAGACGCTCGTTACTTTCTATTTTCGATATCTGGGTGTTTGTCCTGTAGTTATTCCGCCATATCTTTCCCATTCCGGTTTCGAAACCAGCTTTCTACTACGCTCCAGGAATCATATCCCTCATATTTGATTCTGATATTGCTGCAAAACATATCTTCTCGTCCACCTCCGTCAGCCGCTTTTCTGAGACACCCGTGTTCGTGCAGATTGTGCAAGGATCCGACAAACCCTTTCGTTTCTGCTCTGGACTTCCTTGACGTGTCCCGCTCCTGGTATATTACCGGAGAAGCGACCAGCGTTGCTTGGGAGTGCCAGGGACCCATATGAAATCAAGAACCCATGGGAATGCCGCATCATCACATAATACGGGTGACATCTCACCGATAGCGCCTAAAACATTCTCCGAAATGGCGTGGTCCATCCCCGCCGACCTCCCACAACACATTACTCTACCGCCCACCTTTACTTCTCAACACTCAAGCTCGTTACCTTCTACGCCTTATCAACATCCACGAGACCTCCAGTTTACCTCGAGATCGCCATCTCCAACCCGGGGAAACAGTTCTCCCCGATCTACCCACTCAGAATCCACCCACCTACTCCCATCGTCACGACGACCTCATGGAGGTTGTAAATATGAAACCGGAATGGCCCATTTCCGGCGGCGGATACCCTATTCTCTGGGAAGTGAATTGTTGCCCAAGGAGACGGGGCCGTTAAAAAAACAACTGGATCCCGCTGACGAGAAGAAGCTTAGTGGTGATATGAGGGAGCTCTACGACAGACTGTTGCCCTCTGAGGAAAGTGAACAACGGCGGTTAAAGTTTGTTAACAAGTTGGAAAAATTACTGAACAAGCAGTGGCCGGGTAACAATATCCGTGTTCGCGTGTTTGGGTCTTCTGGGAACAAACTCTGTTCCAGTGATTCTGACGGTAAGCATCCGCAAGGAAGAATATATGATTGGTAGACGGAACTAATATTTTCTACTATCCTAGTTGACATTTGCATTACTACCACGTACAAGGAGTTGGAGAAGGTTTGCATGTTGGCAGACTTTCTTGCGAAAAGTATGGATTGATTATTTGACAAGGTCTCTAGTAAAAGCCCAACTGACTTTTATATAGGCGGTATGGAACGTGTTGTTTGTGTTTCCCATGCCAGAGTTCCGATAGTGAAAATATGGGACCCCGAATTACTGCTGGCCTGCGATATGAATGTCAACAACACCATGGCACTAGAAAACACCAGAATGATCAGGACCTATGTTGATATTGATGAACGGGTGCGGCCTTTGGCAATGATTTTGAAATACTGGACTAAACGGCGAATACTCAACGATGCTGGTAGGTCTTGCTTATGCTCACTCCTGTTTCCTCTATACCAACGGCTTAATGTTTATTCACCCCCTGTGCAGCCCTCGGCGGAACCCTAAGCTCCTATACGTGGATTTGCTTGATTATCAGTTTCCTCCAAACGAGAAATCCCCCAGTCTTACCCAGCCTTCAAAAACGGTGCTCCAAACAACAAAAAAATGTGGGTGATTCTGAGTCATCGTTCGATGATGACCTGGAAAAACTGGTTGGCTTCGGACGGGATAACAAATCTTCTTTGGGCGAACTCTTGTTTCAATTCTTTCGGTACTACGGTTATGAAGTTGACTACGAAACGAAAGTTATGTCAGTGCGAGAGGGTTCTTTGATATCGAAAGAAGGAAAAGGCTGGCACCTTCTTCAAAATAATCGACTTTGTGTTGAGGAGCCATTCAATACATCGCGAAATCTTGGGAACACTGCAGATGATACTTCTTTTCGTGGATTGCATATGGAACTACGGAGAGCGTTTAACGCAGTGTCCGAAGGAAACTTTGAGGAGTGCTGCGAGCAGTATGAGTACCCCCCTGAAGAAGAACGCAATTGGGAGAGGCCACCACCTCAACCTCGACCTATCCTTGCACCTAATCCCTCCATCTCTTCAAGAGGCGGAAGGGGTGGGGGTAGAGGCGGTCGTCATAATAATCACTATAACCGAGTACCGAATACAGGCCGCCGATCTTCCAGCAGTGCGAACCGCCCGAACATTCAACATACAAACCCTTCATTCGCAGCGGATATTGCTCTCCAAGCACAACAGGCACAGCAGGCACAATATCTTTTACACGACCATCTCTATCAACAAATACAGATTCTGCAGGCCCAGGAGCAGGAGTTGCGAATGCAGTTACAAAACCAAGCACTCATTAGTGGCAGGGCCCCTCCCACACTGATACGACAGCCGTACTTGCAATTCCCGTTCCAACATCAAGAGGCGGTTGGTCAAGATGAAAATTCACGAGCTCGAGCGGGGACGGTAAATCATCCTCCATTAACAGCACCCGTTCGACAACAAGTTTTCTTCAATCCTTCTTTCATTCCATTATCCATTCCCACAATACAAGACGCCAACGCAAATCCTCCTTCCCCATCGATAGTTCCTACCGCTCCCGAAACTCGTCGCAGTCATCGGAGATCATCTATTGCGAGTGGGTCCCCTCGTGGCCCAATGCGGGCACAATCACAACCAGCGCGACCTCTGCCATCGCCTATTGTACAGAACTTTGGTAATGCTCATCATTCCGTCCCGTTAAGCGAGGCTCCCCATACCCCCAGCCCAAGACTGCAACCCTCTTCCCCAAAGAGGGCAGATGCCGAAGTTGATGTTCTGGTCCCCAATGGCATTCCTATATTTTCAAGATCCTACGCTGAGGAAAGACGCCCCTCGGAGTATGTGGGTTATTATCTAGGAGATTCTCCGCAGAGCCAGACAATCCATCACCCCTCAATGGGTTCGCCGCAATCTGTCATGGATGGATTGGCCATCCAAAGTAGCTCTTTGTTTTCAAACCTTCGCAATCCAACGAATTACCGTCACAACGCGATAGTTTTCACGGAGCAAGCAAGTCTTTCATTAGAACACGATCATCTACCCGATCACAACCCGCTGTCAACACATGGGCAATCCTCATCTCAGCCTAAGACACAAAAAGATGGAGGTCCACTTATAGTGGATGGCTCTATTTCAATCAATGAACGCCATTACTCGATGTCTGTAGATAACGCAGACCAATTTGGCCCTATGAGTCTCAGCACCTCCGCATCCGAGGATCGACCATTTGATACTCCTGGTAGTACATCAGATACCCTGTCACAGGGGCTGCCAGACCATATTCTGTATGACGAGGAATTCGAGAAAACGTACGGGCGTGGTCGGCAAGATACCCAACCTCATGCACATATCAATGGGTGGGATTCCGTTGGAGCCAATGGTGTTACCTTGAATGGTCACAGTGGAAGATTAGAAACACTATCGGAAAGGCTGCAAAGATTTCAAATGTCCGACACGAGTCGTTCAGCAGAGTCTCATGGGAAGTTAAATATGAATCAGGTCAAAGGAGGAAAGTCATACCCGTGCACCGCAGAGAATGGCATGGTTGAGAAGGAACACCATGTTGCACATGATAACTACGTCCCATTGTCTACTTCTGCACCTGCGCTCTCACCCGTCAAGGAATCTCGAACCTCCCCGGCCACTTCGAAACGACGCTTAAATGGTTTGGATCCTGAGAAAGCTAACGGGACGAGTCATAAAAATGGGCCACATGGACGACATAAACGTAGCACCACTCCCCAGCAGACGGACAACAATAATAGAGAAAAGCAAACAGATCCCGAGCGTCGAAAACCAAACGGCCACCCGGCTGCTAATGGAGCTGGTGGAAACGAGCATCACTGCGGGTCAACTCCGACTGGTTGGCAGATTACGACGAAGAAGAAAACTAAAAGAAGCAATAAGGTCCCCGCTGAACCAAACCACAACAATCTCATCAAGGGTGTCGAGCCTCTTCCGGCTGATGAATCGTTGAGGAAAGGGGGTTGATAAGTAAAAGCGAATAAGAATGTCCATGGATTGCGAGCATTGAAATGTTCACGCGAATGATATGTGTGTTTTCTGCTTTTCATTCTTATCATCACTATTGGGGTCCCTTTTATGACTTCTTTTTTACTTTTTCATAAGAATATCTGGCTCAGCAAATTTGAGTGCAAATATTTTGTCAAAGTCTTCTTGACTTGCCTCTACTTGCTTGCTGATTGAAAGTTTGTTGGCCCGAGTGTGGTGTGCTATATACAGCGTTTTAAAACATGGCTGAATAAGCTCTTACATTAACTAAAGATCCCAACCCATCCCATCGAATTTATCAACCCACTCCAAGCCTAGCTTCGAGACTCAATTCGCCTTTATATGAAGAAAATTGTCGGTTTTTCTTTCATAATTCCTTGATAATATAAATCGCGTTATACTATCGGGAAAACTCCCAAATTCAGGATGCGATGACAGCTTTTCAAGGATTTAATAAACGACTGAGAGACTGGCCGCCCAATTTCACGTGGAGAAGTTTTATGTGTAAAAGCAAACAAAAAAAGAATAAAACCCCTCTGAATGTGTTGGTTATTCCACCCCCTCCCTGTCGTGATACTGGAGCTAGAGAGTCAGGGCGCCGGGGATCTTCTAGAAGGAAGGGCAAAAAGTGAGTGGAGCTCACGAAACTGGCAGAAGAAAGAGAAGGTAACAAGAAACGAAAGATTATCTCTGGCAGAAATTCTCTCGGGGTTTTCCTTGTTTGTTTGGCCCTTTTTTTTTTTTAACACTGGCTCCTATGTTTTGATTGCTTATTTGCACAATCATGAAAATGTTTGCGTGTGTTTGATCGAAATCTCCTTTTGGCATGTTTTTTATGGTTTTGTGCCTCTTTTTTTCCTCTTCTGAGTTTGCAAAGAGCCAAAAGAAACCTAAATAAATGTTCTCTGTTTTTTGTCGTACTCAATGGTGGCGTCTTTTCTTCATTTCATTTTTTTGAAAGAAATTTTTTGATGCTTTGTTATTTAACACGCGTGGTTTTCTCCCCTTAAACCCCCTCCCCTTGTACTGCTGCTTGTTTCCTTGTTTCCTACATAGGTTCAGGTCGGATTTTGCTCCTTTTTCTCATGTCCTTTTTCTCTTTGGTACGTTACATTATTCATACTCAAACTGGTGTACTCTTTCGTCTGAGCACGTTACTTACCTTACTTACATTACACGTTAGCTATTATGATTGTTAAACTATTTTATTCTTGTCCTCGTGTATGTTGCTTGGTCTAAGTAAGCTCAGCGCGTCTATGCGGGTGGGTGGATGGATGGATGGGCGTTTGTGTGTTGTATCTTATCTGATGTCTTTTGTAACTTGGATTAAGCAAATTTATCCCCATGGATTGATTGTCATTGCCGTTAGGATAATCGGTAGACGTCAAAATTTGCTTATTTGCTTAACGACTGTTTGTATTTTTCTAATTCAGATTTCTAATTTATTTTTAATTGCTTCGTTGCCACATATATGCTACATAGGATATCCATAAATTGCTCTTAAGTTTCACTCTCCTTCGTTTGCCGCTTGTTTGCTTTATCTCTTAGCTCTTCTCCGTCTCCTTTCTATTGTCATTTCTTGTTAAGCTGGTTGAGAGAAGAGTAAACATTGTATCCATTTTATTTAGCATTCCATCCGCTTCAATCTGCAGAGGAATCGTTTCTCTGTGTGATCGCTCTGGATACAAAATTGAAGTTGGCATCACTATTTTCCCCTCATCAATCGAGATTGATATCTCCCCCATACATCACAATTGAAAAGAGAGGCCTTGAAACTCTGATTCCTACATCGTCCTCCACCACCACTGTCTCACGGCAATCTGGAGTCTGGTATTATATGCTGATCGGGAGAAGAAATCTTGCGTAGGTTAAAGTTCTAATCCTCAGTTTAAGGAGTATTGTGTGCATACGCCATAGAACGAACCGGTAACTTGGCCACGGGGCTTGCGGGGTAAAGAACGCGATTTACATGTTGTTAGTATCTAAAGTACTATTCCACCTTAAGTAAACCCGACTTTGCGCTTCGGTGACGCCGTGGGCTGCTGTTTCTGAGTTAACGCTAGTTTGGAGAGAACGTTATATGAATTGTTACAAGTATCTTGCAGCTGGAGCAAATTAAACGATTAGTCTATATTATCTATGGGAAGGTGTGGATAATCAGGTTGAAGTGTGCCAGGGGAGAATGATTAGAAAGAGGAGAGAAGACGAAGAGAAGAAATGCGAGAAAGAGAGTTGTATTGGGGTTAGATGAAGGGGCAACAAAAAGCAAGCAACGGAAAGAATTAGGGAATCAATATACACAATGTGCTTGTTCGCTGCGGCATTCCTTTTCTTGAAGGAGATGAGTTTTGCTCCGTCCAGCCATTATTGGCGGGAAGATAATAAATGGGTTAGAATAATAATAAAATATTGAGAACGTTAGTGGAAGAGGAAGCTATACAAAAGGAAAACGTGCCAGACAAGAAACAAAACAATACATCATGAAAGAAAAAATATCACAGTAAAATAGGCCATTAATAGGATATAAGGAATTAAAAAAGAAACCCCAGGAAAATAAATCGGTGGTTAGAAATCCCGATTCCATTCCACTGCTAATGGCAGGAAAAACCACGTAATTCGCGCATACGAACCATCTAAACTAACAATATCAATGTACAGCTTCCAGAATGTAACCAAACACACAGACAAATGGAACAACATGATGAACAAACACATGTTTCCGTCGTAGGTGGACGATATTCCTTCTTGTACACGAATCGGGGAGTAGGGGAAGTGAGTATGATTTATCTCACGCAGCATTTCTAACTTTCTTTAACTTCTGCTTTAATATCTAATCTCAGCGAATATAAAAGGGAAGATGACTCGACAAGCAGTCCAGAAAACGATAAAGCACTGAAAAAATGTTATGGGAAACATGTAGAGGGGTTGGCTGCACACAAACTCCCATATTGAGAGGAAGGCAACTGAGTAGAAATGTTTGATGAGGATCCACGGGTGCGGGTTGACCCCCGCGAGGAGGCTGATGGGTCCATCAACCAGGCCCAGCTGGAAATAGCGGAAGCAACCTCTTTGGAGGACTTCAAGGTAGGGGTCTGCAAGGCAGGATAAATCGTTAGTATGGAGAGGAGACCTGAAAAGAGGCTGGAGGCCAGTAAAATACAGGAACATACCATCCGCAGCAAAGAGAGAATATAACGCTTGCGCTAGGATATTAATGACAGTCGTTAACCCTTTTCTTTCCCAGTGGAACTTAGACATTTGTTTAAGAACCTGTTGTTTGTTTGATAATCTAGGGACGTTCTCGGGGCTAAGGAGGTTACAGAGAGTGACCACGTCGTTAAAGGCAACTGTCATGCCACCTCCAGTCAATGGGTGTCGCATATTCAGTGAATCGCCAATAAATACTAGACCAGGAGTCTTGTTCGTGGTGGGGGGGAGGAAGGAATTGGGCATAGATCGCAGGGCCCCTTTGTCAAGGGCCTTCGCAAAAGCAGGTTGTACGCATTCGGGGAGGGACGGGAGGACGTTATTTCGTAAATGACCCTTGACACCACCGTTCTGCAGCGACGCAGATGGTAGGTTTTCGGGGATATCAACCAATATTCTGGTCTCGTGCGTACCGATCTGATACAGAAGGATGGGGGGCCCATCAGGTAGTACGACATGGCCAAAATTTTTCCGAGGAAGTTCTGCGTCAATCAACTCCAGACCCCAGAATTTTGACTTCACTTTCGGTATTGTGGTCAGATATTGCTTGCGGAATTTGGAAGCGTATCCGTCCACAATGAAGGTGAGGGGAGCGAAGAAGTAGTCCTTCTGCCCATCCGTAATGCAGTGCACACCAAGCGCCTCATCATCCGTTGACGAGTGGATCACAGAGACAGCCGTAGTCTCAAAAATTGTGACGTTAGGTGTCTTCCTGGCCGCATCACGGAGGCGCATGATGAAGCGACCATGATGAAAAGAACGACCGGTAAACGGAACCCCGTGTTCATCCTTCGGATAAGGGATAGGAACTTCGTCCCCGTGATATATCACGTCCATACCCTTGCACTCAATCGCATCGATATCTTCAAGACAGTGCTTCAGCCCCAGCTTCTCCAGAGCCCTCACTCCTCCCGGTTGTAATAGTTCGCCTACAATACGGTCTGGTTCCTTCAACGACCTCTCTAGGAGGACCACGCTGCGCCCTTGTTTCCCCAATGCGACGGCCAGAGCACAGCCAGCAACTCCAGCACCCACTATCGCAACGTCAGCTTCGTGGTGTTCATATCGCCGCCGCTCGTTCTCGTCGGAGTACACTCTAGGGGATTTGGTGATGCCATTAGCGGTCATTATGTTGAGACGTCCAGGGAGAAATAGGGGAAAAGCGAAGGATATCAGCTGCGTATAGGAATGAAGATATGTCGTTGCATAATTTCTAGAGGAAATATAGGAACAGGAGAGAAGAATTAGCGAGAGAAGGGTAAGAGTTGAAGTCTTCCTTAGCTGCCAGTATAATGTTTGTTAGGAGTAGCTTTTTGCGCCGCGATGCTACATAAGGGCAAGTATTGGCGGACAGGTACCAATAAAACGTGATGGGGTTAGAAAAATGGCTGAGTCATGTGCTGGCATATCTAGGAAGTGGCGTGACCTGGAACCTGGAAGCATGTGATTGATTCGGTTCATAGTTGTTCCGAGACAGCTTCTTTTCCCCTGAGAATGATACCTGGATACTCAACCAAACCATGCGCTTGGTGCCAATGCACCTTAAAGCCTAATTATCCAGGGGTAAAAAATCTAGTCTCATAAACTAAATAATAATCGTGCTGCTGCGCAACCCACATCAAAATGATAAAAATCTTGCAATTTCATCATCTTCATCATCTTCATCAATTAATAACTCACCACAATGTCAAATAAGAATAAAAATATCAAATACTGTATTCAAAAAGCTGTCACTTATCATCAAAAAAACTCAAATTTCAAAATACTGTCTCTGTCATAAGAATTTGAGATTTCTTATCAATGTCTCTAAGTGCATATCAATGGAAGAAATCTGAATACTGCAAAGATTCCAGTTAACAAGAGATTAAATGAGAGTCAGAAGAACACAATTAAACAATGAGTTAAGCTGCTTGATGAAAAGAATTGTTCTTTCATAGCTGAACATATTAAAGATTTTGTGAATTCAATACTCAGACATCAGCATATGAATTCTACTATCTTCTCTTTAAAAGTTAGTAAGATGTGAACTTATAAGTTCATTAAATGCGTATCTGAGTATAAGAGAGTGAAATAGAAGTTAATGAATTCAAAAAAAGTGACAGTTGAAGATATTGAATATATTAATATATGATTTGAATGTCTTTGAATTCTATTTGAACAGTATCAATTTCACATCTGTGATACATACAACTTCAATGAGATTGAATTTCAAGAAGAATAAAAATGTGAAGAATGAGTTGTAACTGCTTTTAAAGAAGATAATTTTATCATTTTTTTATTCATTTCAAAAGATTTGATTACAGTCATTGAATATGTATTCATGAATAATCATGTCATTTCATTATTGATAATCTTGATTTTCAAAACACATTTAAAGAATTAATATACATAGACAGATTAACTCAGTAATTATAGAATTGCTATATCAGATATTGAATTTACAAATGATGAAATTGAATTTGAATGACTTAAACATTTCAATACTATTACCAAAAAGAAACAGAAGAAAAATCATTAATTATTTTTAATAAATAATCATGAATCTTATATTACTGAGAAGTTCATACAATATGTGAATCTTCATAAAATAATTCTATATGAATTTTCATCACATGTCACTCATTTGCTACAATCTCTGAATAGTCTATCATTTTAGAAATATAAGTATTATCATTCAAAAGCAGTCAATTATATCACATGTTATGATCTTGTTAAATATGAAAAATGATAGTTTCTATAAAATCTCTTAGCTATTTGAAAGCAGATTTTTAAATCTGATATAATAGCTGCAGAATAAGCTCAACATGATATATATTCATGAAATTTTGACTGAGTTCTTGACACTCTTAAGCAGTGAATCTTATCACCTCCTTTACTGCAAATTTATGAAGATGAGAATGATTCAGATCACATATCTATCTCTTTATCTCAACTATTCTCATCAAAAACAATTTAAAAGCTGAAACACTATATTAATATTGCAGAAAATATTATACAAAGTATTAGAAATACTTTTGAATTGAAATCATTTATCTTGACATGTTGTTTGAACAAGATATTCAAAGCAAGTTTAATTCATATGAAATTTAATGAGTAACAGATCACTGAAATAGAGAACTTTCTCAACATCAGTAAATACTGCAGAGCTAAAACAATCTGTCATCAGATTCATGTAGAGAGAGTATTTACTATTAAAGATGTCAATAGAAAAATCAAGTAGTGTAATAATAATGAAGCTGAAAAAAAGCAGAATAAGAAGTGATAGAGACTTGAAGTTGATCTCATGAAAATTGACAATAACTCACTTACATCACTGACAGAAGAGGATTTAAATTGATTTAGAGATAGCACACATACTGAGAATGATGTAAATAATCTTTTTATTATAGATTAGTTACTGTCACGGCTTCAGCTAGGCGCAGGTGAACTGGTGTTCAATTGCCAACTAGGTAAGCTATCTGAGCGAATACTAAGATGATTTCTAAAAGATGGGTTTGGGGAAGGCTCTGTTTATATAGCCCTTTTTCTCTAGCGCCGTTGCCAGGTGATTGCCACGTGTATGTGTTATTCATACACGGGGTAATTGTGGGGTTGTTTGCCGTTGCCTAGGCAATTGTTGTTTACCGATCGCCTCGGCCTGTGGCGATTATGCTGTCGAGAAGGTTGGACATAAGCCTGTTCTACGCCATCACAGTTACTGATTGTTGATATAGAGTGCAATAACAAGGATGTGATTCAAGATTTTTATCATTTTGGTGTTTTTATCATTTTGGTGTGGTGCACCCACACCTTGTGTGGGTTGCGCAGCGGCACGATTACAACCTTAATAACAACTATAGAGAAACACGGGCTTTTGTGGTGGTGTTTTGAGGAGCGCAACGATACCCACCATGGATACATTTTCAACCGTTGGCTTTCAACTTTGGTTTGAAGATTTCAAAAAATACAAATGAAGGACTTACGATTGAGGAGGGACCGGAATTATACTATTCATAACACTTAGGTATTATCCAATAAAGCCACATTGAGAAGAGAAAGATAAGACCCATCGAGAATGATGCCAAGAAACCCATCCATTCATGAGCTCCTAGCAAAACGATAAATTGCGTTTAGAGAAACGGATAATGTACTCCGTACAATAAATACAATTAACATATGTACAAAAGAAATGGATGATTAAGTCCATGAAATGGAGATAAGGAAAAATAAATGTAATCTGTGTGACTGGTTCCAACGCCCGCACAGTTTATTAGACATAAACAACCACAAAGAAATATATCATATCTGAACGGGTTCCTCCAGGGGTATCTCCTCAACGGAGTCCTCCAACCCCTCTGCCCACACACTGCTTTCACTCCAATCCTGATCCTCCGTATCATCAGGCAAAAAACATTTCTCCAACTCGGCCCTCTCCTTCCAGTGCTTGACGATGTAATCAGTGTGCTGAAAATCCTCAAATTTATGCCCCTTCAGCTGCGGCCCCTTCTTCAAGGCATTGCTGCTAGCATCACTCGCTGCATCAGCCATCCAGCTCTTGCTCTTCAACAATTCAATAGCTTCGGTAAATGGAATGAAGCGGGCTGGTCCGAACTTTCTGGCTTTGACCTTGTGTCGTAGGAGACGTGAAAGCTTTGCAATATGGTCTATCTCCATCTCGAAACTCTCTCGTGTGTGATTTGGTGGAAGTGGAATATGGAGGCAGCTTCTGGATCTAGAAACGATCAAGCTAATCTCGTCGCAGAGGTCGCGATTAACTGCTGATGCGCGTTTGAGTCCTGTAAATATCGCCCACCGGACACCCTTGAAATTGCCCATCCGCGCAAATGAACGCGTAATGAATTTTATCGCAACGGGGTCGAAGGGGGCAAAAGCCGCATATTTGGATTTGTTGATTGTCCGGAACATATCTAGTACTGCGGCATTGTTGCCGATATCGAGGAGTCGGGCAGCGACAGTGGACGCAGCATGATGCTTAACAGGCATAAATTTCTGTTGTCGGATGTTGTAAAAATTGAAAACCGCCATCTTCACCGCTTCAATCTCATCCATTTCACTCGTTTGCATTATTGTCTGGAAGAATTGTGACGGAACTGGTTTTTCCGGTGCCTTGAAAGCATCAAATTTCTCCAATATAGCCTTCGCATCCCGAGTATCGCCATGGAGTAAAATGCTAGCAGTGACTGCCAAATCTAAGTGAAAATGTTTCATAACCATCCCGGACATGCTGGCGTCTCGAAAGGATGTTAAGGACAGTTCAGGTTTTCCCGCATTTATGAAATACATCATCTGACTATGAAGTGGCATAAACTGCCTGATATGCCTTGAAGTTTCCGGCAGGGACATCGCTCGTCGCCACATAGCTTCAGTTTCTTGAGAAATTGGTTTATTCCCCACGTCATTGATGGGAAAAGAAATTGTATCATATCCCAGCACTTGGCGTGAAGCGGCAACGTAACCGAACTTCTGCTCGGAAGCACGGAACATTCGCCATAACCCGGCCGGGCTGTATCTGGCAGACATCCGAGCTTCCTGAAGGAGTTCCATGAAATATGGTCGCTCGAGCTGGAGTTGCCAGCCTTTTTCCTTCACGATCTGCAAAAGCTCTTCTACCATTTCCACAGTTCCCTTCTGAATAAATGCCTTCAGTGTTTGATCGAAAAGTAGCTTATCAAGCACTAACCCATAGTTATCAATTGCATCGAAAACGAAATTGCGAATCATATGACCGGGATTTGCGATCCAGAATTCAAGGAAAACACGATGAAAAATCTGCGAGAATCTGAATTGATCCTTGGTGGAAAGTTCAAGCTCATACATATGCGCCAAAGTGTCTTTTACTCCATCCCAATCACATTTCACAGCTTTCCCGTAAGCAACAAGGCCCAACGTCCGTGTCTTGAAGGGGATATTATAGGTGTCTCTCATGGTCTTGACAAGCAAATCAGCCTTCCCATCCATTCCGAATTCGACGTACGCCATTAGCAAAGGATCAAAGAGCTTTTCGGTTGGAGGAATTTTACAAGCGGTCAAGGTGTCCAGCAACTTCCGGAATTGCGATTCCAGGAGGACGATACTTCGAGTCCTGCTCCAGAGTCCACCCAGATATATGCCGCAGACACCACAGTCCACATCATTTCTTAAGTACTTGAATAACACGCCCTTGGCCTCAGACAGTCGGTAGGAACTTATAAGAGACTTGAGTACCACCCTCAGTAGAACCGGATTAAGTTCGAACTCTTTTGCGTATTTCAAGTATAGTGTGGATAATGTTTCGAACCTTCCATTTTTCCAAAAAGCTAGCATCATTATCTCCCACAGTGCTGGAGTTACCTTGTGGTTTGTCTCAAACCAGTAGAAGAGCTTTTGTGCAAGGTTGAGCCTGTTCCGATGCAAACTTGTGTACAGAAGATGGGTAGCGATGTCATTCCTGGCTTCCTCATCTGCTTCGATACCTCTATTCACGTCACGTAGGAACCTCAATATAGCTTCGTCCAGCATGTGGTGATCCAGAAGCCTTTGAACGGAGAGTGCAGGGTCACTTGCTGGGAGGTTTTGATACTTCTCTCGAAAAGCTGGAGAGACAGCTATGGTATAGGATGGGTCTGAACAGAACTCCTTATCACCCCTCAATTTTGGTTTGTATTTATTCAAGAGGAATAATGGTTGGGGAGGTTCTTGAGTAATGGCCTGAGGTGCCCCGGTTTCCAACAGATGAAGTGAGGGATTCAAGATATTGCGTGAAGGTTGACCGGGAGCGTCGGGAGATCCGTTGGGAATGCCAAATTCGCCTTCCCTCCCTCTCACTACCTGGGGCTCCATAGCATACATATTTGCGCGATCAATCTTCACATCCTCGTGGCCGGCTGTTTGTTGTTTGCGCCGCTCGCTACGTTTCTTAAAAGAAGCTATCCCAAGGAACTCTCCTGCTTCCGCAGCCTCCATCATATGAGCCACCGTCGCAGCCCCTGCCCCCACAGTGTAATTTGGGCATGATGTTTGGAGACTTCGCTTGGTTTCAACGATGCGTTCAACAACCTGGACTCTGCGGTGGATGTCATAGGCGATAGTTCCAACAGTACAGAGACCTCCAATGGCACCAATGGTTGACCCAGCCAATGCCAATTGCCGGAGAACACGTAGTGCATTCCGCGACGGGACCGCAGTTCGAGCGGGTTGGCGGGGAAACATTGTGAGCAAGGCGTGGGTAATAGGGGGTCATGAACTAGCTCGGGAGATGGCCCCTCAAGTGAAATCCATAGAAGGGATTCTGGGCCGGACACGAAGACGGGAGATTGTATTCTGTAGAGGAGATTGCATCCGGAAACTCCTGAAGTAAAAGGTGTGCTGACATGGATGAAAGGAGGCCGGCGTGTTGTCAAGTTGTTGGTTACCGTTGATTTTTTTTTTTTCGAGTGGTACGATGAATTAGTCTGAAGTTGGATGTTTCTTGGCATATTCACGTGAACGTGTAAAATTATGTTCTGCAAAAAGACAACTAGTAATAAATATCTCACATGACATCATTTTTTCGATTCCTTCCACCCCATCCCTTGGATGCTTCCAAAATCGTCTTAGACATAATAGAAGAAATCTTTATATAGAGATGACGGCCTCCATGAGGTGTGTACATGTATGTACAATGTATAACGTGATGACCTACAATAGAAATAGAAGAAGGGAGTGTTAAGTACAGAAGTATTGTTTTACATGATAGCAAAATGCTGCAAACAGAAAACGAAACCTGGGACCCAAAAATGTCTTGAAAATTGGTTCACATGGAGGTTTAGATGAGAAAATGGTAGGTGTCAACCAAATGTTCTAAACTGAGGACTAGACCTGCGATGTATCGAAAGTCTTTTATCTTGGCCCATCTGTTCTCCGACGTGAAACATAAATACCCTGTACTGATTTTCTTCAACTGTTTCGGAACCGTTGTAGTGCGTGTCGGTCTCGTCGTCCATATATACTTTTTTTAAGAAAAAAAATAGGTAAGAAACGTCAATAAACAGACATTGGAATAGGAGAAAGGGGTTAGATATGTGGCATAGCATACCATGAGGTTTAATGAAATACGACCCGACGAGAGCTAAAAGCATGGTCGCAGAGAGGCATACAAACACTGCCTGCGGAAGATTATCGATAGTCGAACTATATATCTGATTGAAAACCGTCGGCGCCACCACACGAGCAAGCGCATGGAGCAAACCAATCGCTCCGAGAAGCTGGCCGGTGCGATTGGCCGGAATGTGCTTTGTCAATGAAGACGTGAGTGTTGGGGAAGCCATTGCGCCCATAGCTGCAGTTGCGCCTGAGAAAACCAGGAGCTCACCATTCCACGCGACGCAATACCCAACGCATCCAAGCAAGTCGAAGAGTGTGGAGAGTCGAATCAGGACTATGTCCAGCATATCAGAGCCTGTATTGAGCTGCTTCCGTTGGCCCTGTGGGCCACGGACAAAGCGAGTTATTGTCGGGAGAATCACTAGCAGCATGACAACCCTGACAGAGCTGACTATAGACACGAAGATGCTTGACTCGAAGTTTCCCCAATTGAACATGTACTCAGAGTATATCACGATGATCGACATAGTTCCCATTCCGACACCGAAGATCGCAGCGTCAATGGATGCAAGAAGAATCAGGTTCACCTGTAGATCTCGCAGGGCGTTCCTAGAGCGTGACTTCGCGGAACTGGGAAATAGGATGGAGAGGGGCCTTAGAAGATTCAATGGGTTAAAATCCGCCAACAACCAGTGAGAAACCTTATGAAAATTGAAGAATCGTATCCCGAGGTGCTCGCGATTGTGGTGCTGGCGGTCCTCAGACAGTGACTCTGGTACGACAAATAGCATGAAAAGCATGAAAAACAGCAGACAGCATATGACTTCATAAAACACAACGAGAATATTCCCCGTCCATTTGATGAGGTACCCCGCAATCAGAGGTCCCAGAGCGATACCAGTAAATAGAACACCATGGAAATATCCAAATGCGACGTTCCTGCTGTGTGTGGTAACGCAGTCTGCCGCATATGATTGCGTTAGGGCTACGGCGGTTGTGATGGACCCAAACATTCCATCAAACACTGCTGCGAGAAGAAGAAAATTCACCGAGAGCCGGCCATCCTGGGATGCCACCACCAGCAGGACAATTTGAGCAAGCAAGGTTCCAAAAGCCGACAGGGCAATGATTCTGTTTCTTCCATAAGCGTCTGTTAGGATTCCAAGCCTTGGGCTTGCTATAGCTGCGAGAATGCCAATAATTAAGTTCAATTTCAGTTGAAATTTTGATACGAGGGCCTGGATTTCGGGGAGTCGACATTGGGGGTTATTATCTCCAAAAACAACTGGAAGATACGTAAATGTAGGATCCTGTACGGCTCTATCGGAGAGATACTCGCGACAAATAAGGATCAAGGAGAGATTTATCTGCGGAACGACGATACCTCCGAAGGCAATTGTGAAGGTAAGAAGGGGTGGCAGGACCCAGAATATCTATTTGCCGATCTCCCAGGTGAACGGTTAGTTAAGCATTTGTTAAACAGATGGAGCGACAAAAAAATAATGGAATAAATAAAACAATATATATATATATATATATATGTGTGTGTGTAGAGCGAGTCCTCACAGACGGTCGTTTCCACCATGGCTTCCAATCGTTTTCCTTCCACGGCGTATGTTGAGTTTCACCTCCATCGTCCCAAGTACCGTCCTCTCCTAGCAATGTTGTGAGATCACTGCTCTCCAACAACGTGGTGTTCTCTGTCGGTATTGCGGAATTCCCCACCTCTGAGTTGGATCCTGAGCGCTGCCGGCTTGGAGGAGTAGTATTAGCAGTTACCCTTCGGATGTTTTCTTCTCCCTTAGCTGTCAGAACATTCTTCACCTCCATTTTGACGGAGGATAGGGAATGTAATAGTTGTAGTGGAACCGAACCGGTCACTTTACATTAAGTTCAAACAAATGTCGAGCAAGTGTTTACGATTGGCTAAACCAACCTAGAAAAGATTAATAACTAACTCATAGAGTATCAATGACATCTGAGAGGAAGCGATACTGGCATGTCATGCATGTCATAGGGCTTATCAATCACTAACCTGTAGGATCCCAACGAGCTATTGGTGTTGATTCTAATAATTCTCCGCTAAAATATGAAACTCCTTGCGACGCCCAACGTCATTCTATATTTCAAGGCTATTATCATTAACTACCCAGCGTGCTAAGTCTGAACTGTTTAACTTCGAGTTTGTAGTTATTTAACTGGATGAGATGAGAAAAGAGGTTTTCGGATACGCTGTTGGCCCAAACCGAACCATCGAAACCAGCCGAGGCATGAAGATGCATAAAATTATCAAGAGACCGTCACGTAGTTATTTAACGACCAACTGACGTAGTTTAGATGGATTTAAATTTTTGACCGCTCATTAAACCGGCTACCAGACATAACCAGGAGACTGGGCTATTTTCTCTAACGTACGGAGTAAATATGAACCAAGGTCAAGGAGGAGGGGTGCTTACATTTCAATACGCTGTTAAAATGTCAAGATTTTGCGGGTCCATATCTGTTCAAAATTGTTAGTCGAAATTGTGCATCAACTTGATCTATCTAGTCCAAGTCTTGAGCAGGCACAGAGCAGGAAAATCATAACTCTTCAGAACATCACCTCTGCTTGAATATTTCGAATGCAAGACCCCATATGCTTCACATCATTATAAGGGATAAAGGGCTGGGTTCATTTCCAAGAGTTAGAATTGCAACAAAAACTTGTCCTTCCGGAAGCGTGTAGGCAATTAGCTGGGCTAAATGTGTCGGTGGTTAGAGGAAGAAAGGGCTGACACACGTAGTCAACATATGCAAAGTGAAAAGAAGAAAGTCTTCGTTTGAACATAAATTTATGCAAACCGCAGTATTTTGTTAATGTATATTCATTTCAAAAACAAAATCTAATACGAGAAACTCGCACATCCAGCAAAACAATTCCATCTAAATGTTTCTATACCTCATGCGACTGCCTTTTGATTTCAAACCCGAGAAAGCTTTAAGAAACAGAGATTCATTCGCCTTGTCCTATCGAACGAGAGTGGCAAGTTCAGGCCCCGCGAAAAACTTCTTCTGTTCCAGACACCTTTCGCTCGTACAGCCCTGACATCGCAGCGTCATTTGGCGTGAGCAATTTTCCCCGCTGCGCAAATGAGCCGCTGCAATGTCGGCAAGTCCATTTATGAAAACAGGGCTCCCGTTCAAACTTTCGACCCGTTTGACGCCTTGACTGTTCGCTTCATGAATGACTTCTTGGTCAAGCTCGTAGAGCGTCTCGATGTGGTCACTAGTGAATGCGATCGGGACGAGGAGGAGGTCCGTTTGGCCCTTTTTAACGTAGTTTTGGACTGTGTCGCTGGTCTGAGCTCCTAGCCAGGCTGAGGGTCCGACTTGTGATTGCCAGCAGAGGCGATAAGGGTTTGAGAATTTTAGTCTCTGCATGACTGCGTAGACTGTCGCAGCGACTTCGGCTGCATATGGATCACCTTAATCTCTATGTTAACATATTACTGGCTCCTGAGGTAGTGGCGTTAGTTTTAAGTGGAGCCATACCTCGATTAACGACGCTCATAGGCAAGCTATGAGCAGAGAAGAGGAGAACAACCTCGTTTCTCCGCTCTTCAGGATACGTCGCAAGTTTTTCTTCAATATTTTGAGCAAATGCCTCTATTAGGCCTGAATGCACTGGCCATCGATCAATGACACTCCATTGAATAGTTCCCTCGGGCTCCTGGCCTGCATTCGCACGTTTGCCCTCGAGTCGATTTCGCCACTTCCACAGCTCATTCAGTGAGCTGCCTGTCGTCGAACAGGAATATTGGGGGTATTGAGTAAATGCAACAGCACGCCTTCCCTTGCCTCTACCGAATCCGTCGTTTAGCAGCCGCTCGTACATCTCCTCTGTTAACGGGGCAGCGTATCGGAACGCAACGTAGGGTTTATGTGGCGCAGTTTCTGGAGAAATCTTGTCCAGGATTTTGCACATCTCTTTGCACTGGTACTCAGACCACTTTCTAATTGGTGAACCTCCTCCGATGGCTGCGTATTGCTTTTCAATTTTGGGAGTTCGACGACGCGAGATGAGGGGCCCGAGATATGATTGGAGTCGCCCTAGAGGTATTAGATCGGCATCTGCCTGAACGAGGAGTGAATAATTAGTAGGGCTTTAGTAAACCATAAGCTAGTTGTTCGTACAAATAATCTGCTCAAATAATCTCCAACATCTTTTGTTGTTGAAGGGCCTCCCATATTCAGAAACACCATCGCAGTGGGACCTTGAGAGCCCATCGAATCCTGTGTAACAGGGGCTACAGTTGTTGCCATCCCACATCGCTGATGTTCACCGTAGCTTGCGAGTGATTTTGACACTGTCTGCCTCCAACTATGTCCGCTCAATGCTTGCTTGGGGAGGGCCGTGAGGGACTTTCGCAGCGACATCTCGCGGGCGCCACTGAACGGCAGTGGGCGCAGTAACTTCAGAATAGGAGGGGTGAGTTGAATCTGGTAACTGAGCAGCAGCAGCAAGCTAAATTCTCAAATAAGAGTTATGATGCGGGACTGTGTCAATGGTAGTTCGTCATTATTCGGAGTAGTTGGGCTGACGTCTAATATTTGATTATTACGACATTCCAAGGCTTGGCCAAGTCTTCGTCTGCTCTGACCAATCAGAAGCTGCGTAGAGTAATATATCACGTGATCTGACGTTTCTCCGCTTTTTTGGCGTTCCGGGAAACCGCGTTCCTTTGCGGCTATTTCGCTTCTAATGACAATGAATTTAGCCGCGCTTGATATCAGGCAGAAGCCAGCAGCCGCAGGGGTAACTTATATGTATATCAGGGCACTTGAACACAGATCACTCCGCTTATCCTTACGTGATTCTGTAATATGCTCTCTAACAATTATTGCGAAAACTCGGCCCTTGATTCTAATAAAACTTAGTAATGGCTGACGAGGGGGCACCTTGGCAGCAGGATGATGGTTTCGAGGAGGAGGAAGATATTGATGAAACGGTAATTATATTTTGATAATTCTCATGGAGCGCGAACTCAATTGACGTTTGTTAATACTAAGTAAATCGTTCAAGGTTTATAAAACTGTCAAAGATGCTGTCCTTTTCGCCATTGAGATTAGCGAGTCCATGTTAACCCCGCCACCCGATGGTGACTCCAAGAGAGCTGATAAAGAATCGCCCGCCACTGCTGCCCTTAAGTGCGCATATCATATGATGCAACAGCGCATAATATCAAACCCCAAGGACATGATTGGGATCCTGCTCTACGGTACTGAGAAATCCAAGTTCTACGATGAGGAAGAGAGTGGGCGGGGAAACTTGTCATACCCCCGCTGCTATCTCTTTACAGACCTTGATGTACCAGCCGCAGAGGATGTGAAGAAACTCAGGGCATTAGTACATGATGAGGAAGAAGCAGATCAGATATTGGTACCTTCAAAGGAACGGGTGTCAATGTCCAATGTTTTATTCTGCGCGAACCAGATATTTAGCTCCAAAGCTCCCAATTTCTCCTCCAGACGGTTATTTATCGTAACGGACAACGATGATCCACACTCTAAAGATAGGGGTCTGAGGTCCGCTGCCACGGTTCGAGCGAAAGATTTATACGATCTTGGTGTTATCATCGAACTATTCCCAATATCCAGACCCAATCAGCAATTTGACAGATCGAAATTCTTTGACGTATGTTATAATACATTCATCATGACCTACGTGGTTTGGGCTAACACTGGCATCAGGATATTATATACAAAGCCTCTCCGACAGATCCAGAAGCCCCTGCCTTTTCTACTCAAACAAAGTCCTCAACCTCCGGTGGTGATGGTATCTCACTCTTGAAGTCACTACTGTCTTCGATAAACTCCAAGTCGGTGCCTCGTAGAACGCTATTTTCCAATGTACCGTTGGAAATAGGACCAGATTTCAAAATCTCAGTGACAGGTTATTTAATATTCAAACGTCAAGAACCTGCACGGAGTTGTTACGTGTGGCTGGGAGGAGAGGAGCCCCAAATCTGCAAAGGAATCACTACACAGATGGCTGACGACTCTGCACGTGAAGTAGAAAAGTGGGAGATTCGGAAAGCATATAAATTTGGTGGGGAGCAGATCTCGTTCACTCTAGATGAACAGGCTTCGTTGCGAAATTTTGGGGACCCTACTATCCGAATAATCGGATTCAAGCCAATTTCATCACTCCCAATATGGGCCTCTATGAAACACCCAACGTTCATATATCCGTCCGAGGAAGGATATGTTGGTTCCACCCGTGTCTTCTCCGCCCTCTATCAAACACTTTTGAAGAAGCGGAAACTAGCACTTGTGTGGTTCGTGCCGCGTAAAAACGCCGCACCAGTTATGGCTGCCATGATTCCTGGAAAGACCAAGCTGAACGAGGATGGAGAGCAAATGATTCCGCAGGGCATGTGGATCTTGCCGCTACCTTTCGCGGACGATATCCGACAATATCCAGAAACAAATCTCATCATCGCTCCGGATGAATTGGTTGATAAAATGCGAACTGTCGTCCAATTACTGCAGCTACCCAAGGCGCAGTATGACCCTCAAAAATACCCAAATCCTTGTAAGTGCGCAAACGACAACGTCAGCCATCTTTTAAAAACCGCAGTGATTTTAAGAGCTAATTGTTTCTCGCTATTAAGCATTGCAATGGCACTACCGCATCTTACAAGCACTGGCCCTTGATGAAGATCTCCCTGAAAAACCTGAAGACAAAACGATACCCAAATATCGTCAAATCGATAAGGTTCGATTCCTCGTAAGATGTTTCGCTTTAAAACATTTTACCTTTTTAACCCAACTTTCATTTCCTTGTTTTAGCGCGCCGGTGAGCATGTGATAGCCTGGGGGGAGGAATTAGAATCCCAATATCTAAAAATGGAAACGGAACAACCCTTCATCTCAACGCTCGTCAAGCGACCCGCAAGCAGGTCTCAGGAACAAACCAAGGAAGAACCACGTCCAGCCAAAAAAGCGAAGACTGATGCTGATGCTGTTGGCGCCGGCGACGAAGTGAGAATACAGTACGAAAAAGGGGCCTTGAATAAAGTTAGTTTGGTCAGGTTCTTTTCCTGTGTTATGTTCTCTTTGTACACCCCTTAACCTATCGGGCATTGCACGCGGTGAGTGCCGACAGACTATACGCAAGCTAACTGATACCGTGTCATGGAAAAATAAAACAGTTAACCGTTACTTTCCTGAAAGAATTCCTACAATCTCAAAATTTGTCTACGACGGGTAAGAAGGCAGATTTGATTGAAAGGGTTGAAGAACTTTTTGAACAGAAATGAAATTAATAATGGGTCATTTTTGTTTGTTATATTGGTATATCCTCGCGCTTGAATATGCTAACGTTCATTTTGCTTAAACGGTTCTTTTGGGTTTCAAAATACCCGGGTTTATATTTTCCGTCTAGTGATTGACCAAGCCCCTTCGACTTTGTTGTGCGGAACCTTTCCTTGGAAAATGAGTGAAATTAGGAGTTATATCTTGTTGTGATTCATCGCTGCACTACTGATTGGTACCTTATCAGTACCCATTGGTGCCTTTCGGAAAAGTAAAGGGATAGCCCGGCTACCAACCATGGTACATACAAATGATCCTTTCGTTGGGTCGATGCTCCAGTGTTGAAGCCAAACCACTCATGGTTGATCAGTCGCAGCCTGGCTTAGGCTGTTAAAGGAAAGCTTCATATTCCCTCCAAAATGAATACTAAACACGTGGTCATCCTATCTAGAATTCTGGCCATTTTGTCTAATCGATCCATGGATACAAAAAGCAATCTCTGTGGAGCTCAATTGACGGTCCAATGAATCGCATCCGAGTTCTGATTTCTGTATTCCCAAATTATTCCAGGAAAATTCTCCTTTGTGTCCACGTCCCCCCAAAACAACCGATAACTAATAGCTAATTATCAATGACAAGTTAACAGTGAGCAGGCAATTGTTTTACGAGGCAGACGTCTTGTTTACCTTTGTCTCCCGTGCATTCTACAGTGAGGATAAAATCGAAGCAGTTTTATCCCTGCGTTGCCGATATCACCGAGATAACCGGGCGAGGAAGGGAGATCGTATAATAGAACACTCCCTTGGTTTGACAATCAAAATTTTAACCCTTGTTGCTATTTGGGCTCCAACAACAGCTGAATGCACGCTGTCGCATCCTTCTCGTTTACCCTAACTCGCTTCCGCAACCTTCGAGCTTTTATAATCGCAACATGTTCTGGGCTCTCGCGTTCTCAATCTTCCTCGAACTTATGTTGTCGAGTTCGTAGAACAAGGTCTAATTTGACATGGGAATCCTCCAGTTTGGCGGGTGGATCGAAGTGGATTCTATTCCAGTAGCGGCTGCGCCCATCTCACGTATACGGGCATGCGGGATCATATACATCCATCAGGACTCTTGGGAAGAAGTTCTAAAGTCATTTGTAATTATAAAAACCTACCGTCAATCCTGGTTCGCTTTGATTTTACCCCAGGTCCATACCAGGAGTGAAATTCAACCATCCTGAAGAATTCAAATACCGCAAAGCGACTCTTCAATGTCGCCCTATGGGCGCTCTGGCTTTATGCCTAACCCTCCCCACCCTCGCTGCTTTTCCAACGTCCAAACACTTCGACCTGACCAAACCCTCTTACGACCTCTTCCGCGGCCAAAACTTGCACGAACACTGCGTTCAACAAAACTTTGCCTTCGACAATATCAACAGACGCTTGTTCGTTGCGCAGCTGCGCGACGGCAGTGGGGACGCAGGTCACCTCTGCATTACACAGCTCGATATCTCCGGAAAGTATATCGGCCACATGCACCTGAATAAGTTCAACCATAACATCTCCTTCAGTGCACAGAAGGTAAATTTTGACACCTATCTGTGAACTAAAGTCAAGACCAATAGCAATGGGTACGGCAAGAAGCTTGCACGCTTTAAGTGGAAGAAAAGGGCCACGTTATCCAACACTTCATCAACATTGAGAAAATTCACACCTGTCAAGGGCGCGACGGAGCATATTGCCTCCATTGACCCGGTACAGAATAGGTTGATCGTCCGCTACAACAAAAGCTGCAAGAATATCGCCGTCTTCGACTTGAAGGCCACCACCAGGGGTGATTTCTCTAAACCCTTAACCAACTTCAAGCAACCCTCGTTGGACAAGTTCAAATCCAAGGTGTTCCAGGGGTATGCAGCGTATGGGTCCTATCTGTATATTATGACTGTCACATCTTATGATGAAAGTGGTGGGAAGGTGAATTCCGAAGTTGCTTGCATTGATATGAATCCAGGAAAGATGGTAAGGGTCCTACACTGACGAAGGCCGGCAGAGCCTTTGTATAGAGAGCCAGAGGGGATGGCGATTTATAAAACAAAAGTTGGTCAGGTGGGGCTGTTCTTGGGCTTCGCGACGGGCAGAAGTGGCGATCGGAGATCGAGTCTATTCTATAAAAATGCATTGGTTTAAAAGGATGGGTATTTCAATATTTGTTGAGTTTTACGTGTATCTTCTACAGACTGCCTTATTTTTTTTACAGGTTGACAGAACAACAAGTTAATAATTAGAAGTGTGGTTATATATTAGAAAGTGCTCATTATCGCGCATATGCATACAGGGTTTCTTTTTTTTCTTATTTATTCTTTTTTTAAATGAAAAATGAAAAAAGTACTAGCTCGTCGGCGGCTTCAGGGGCTTGTTAATTTAGATTGCAGCTCCTGTGACTTGGTGGCTGCTTAAGGTGCCAAATATGAGATATGAGGACATCCGCTAAAGCCCCCACCCCGAAAAGTCGGCAGTCCACATTCTCGGCGCTCCGGGCGTTGAAAAAGAGTGAGAGAGAAGAAAGGGAAAAGGAAGAATTGTAAAGAGAAAAGTTTACCTGTATCTACGAACATATCTGGTCTCTGGCCCGCGGACCTGGAAGAAGGAAAGTAGGAGCCAAGATGGAACAAACACACGAATACTCAGTCGCATTCAGATGATGTAGATAACGAGCCGGAGGGGCAACGTCACGAAGAATTAAATATCTCACAATAATCTTACATTAATAAGTTCAAACGGTTGGTATTGGAAGCATACATACATCCATCCATCCCATCATAACTAGGTAAAAAGACAGGTAATTAGACTTAAAATTAAAGCAGCCCCAGGCATCAAAAAAGGCCAAATTTTGTATCCTTCTTTTATCCCTTTTATACAAATCGGCTAAAGCAAATAATGTGCAGAAATACCGTATAAGTAAATACGGTGAAACAAAATCCAAACCGAAGCATTTGTTCTTGGTGGAATAAATCACGTAAGTTGTAGGTGAACCGTCTGTTACTCGCGATATGGCGGTGGCGGAGTGGGCGCATGCTGATGCTGCTGTTGATAATACGAGTGGCGATGCTGTGGCAGAGGGGGTGGTTGTGGTTGGTGAAGCTGATTTTGATGCTGGTGTTGGTGCTGGTGCTGGTATTGTGAGCCCGGAGGGGGTGGAAGTGGAAGGGGCGGAAGAGGAGGCGGCAGATGCCCGTACGTTGCTGGGTGATAAACCGGGGGTAACGTCATATGCCCGACAGGTCCATGCATGTACTGGGGTGGATGTGGCGGCGGCGCATGAGTTGGCGGGTGAAAGGGAGAGGGCAGAGGTGGGTGAAGAGGATAAGAGCCTGGATGATATACCATGGCATGTGGCGCGGGGAGGTGCGGTGGTGCGGACGAGAATGGGTCAGGGAGTTCGTGTAGGTGTGGGATGGAAGGGTATCGACTGGAGGCTGGGAGAAGGCGGCGGGGTATGCTAGGTGGTCCTCGTTGGGGGGAAGGAGGGGGTGGTTGGTGGTGAGATGGCGGTGGGAGAAATGACCGTGGGTCTGTTGGGGGTATCATTTGACCAAGAACTGGCTGGGGGAGAATTGTTCGATGGAATCCCCGAGGTTGTTCGATTGGAAGTTGTTGTTCGTATGGGTGTGGAAGATGGGGTGGGTGATGTGGTAGTGCTGGAAGCTGCTGCGTGATGCTGGGAAGGCTGCGGAAGGGTGCGAGTTGCAACCCTTGAGGGGGCCCATGCATGGTAGGCTGTTCTACCAGCTTTTGGCCAATGTCGCCCACCGCGATGTCGGCTAATGCACTCAATGCGGTAGGTGGTTCGTTGGGGATTGTCGCCACCGGCTTGCCTTCATCCCCGCGACGCTCTTCCTGCTGGCAAAGCTCAGTTAATGCCTCCGTAAGCTGTAAAATTTTGTCGCTGGCGGGAACTGGTGCTCGGGATTCCTGATCTATCTCTTTTATTTGAGGAGATATGTCTGTCTCAATTTTCGCGCGCTGTATGAAGTCATCCCAACCATATGCAGCTCGTTCGTAGAGAGCAGCACCTTTTGGATCCCTGACGAAAGAACTGTTGAATCCACGGACAAAAAGTCGACGGGGTGGCATTTCGGGCTCCGGGCCCGATTCATCAGCCTGGAGTTCCTTCGTCAGTATTTCGGATTGCTAAACTTAAAAACCTTGCTGCCAAATTTCTTACGCTCACCTCGGTGTGGTCGTCATCCTCTGCTTGACGACACTGTTCCACAAAGGCCATATAGCTCCCTTGAGCCGCAAGGAGATGTTCCTCTCTAATATGTCGAGACTTATCCTGTTGAAAAGTTAGACGTTACATTGTCCTGCAAAAAGAGAGGGGATACTGGGCCAGATATCTTACATGGAAACTCGCATTTACCCGTTCTTTATTCGCCTCGAACAGGGCATCCGCGGTTTTTGTTCGCCAATTATATTCATTTTCAATGACCTCCAATCTCTTCTGTAGCATGGCTTTAAGGTCATTCATGACTTGATCATATTCCGGCACAGCCATATGCGCTTTAGCATCCTTTAAAAGTTTAGCCTCTGAGCGATTAGCGATTACGGTGAGCGCTGTTCGCTGAGCAGATGCAACTCGACGGAACACCCTATCAAGTTCCTTTTGTCTCTCGCGGAGCTGCTTGATTACTGGGCTAGGCGACAACGACATGTCGCGATCGATTGCCTGAAGACGTCCGCCACGACCTCCTCTTCCAGAACCTCGACCACGGCCACCCCTTCCACGACCTCGGGTCCAGCCTCCTCGACCCCTTACCCTTCCTCTGAATCCACCGCGCCCACGACTTCTGCCCGCGCCGCTGGGAAGGTTGGTAGCAGGCAGCTCTGGGGTTTCAGATGGGGTCGGCGCCCGGGAGGCGGATGCCTCTGTTGGTGTGGTTTCATGTGCAGCTTGAAAGGATTCAACCACCATTGTCTGAGAGGGGAAGTCGGCATCGAGAATACTAAGATTCGGATCCTGTCTCGTAGGCTCAGCCTCAGAGTGGATGGGGCGTCCATCACTATCACTATCACCATGATTACTATTGCCACGGTTGCCATTTCCACCCAATGGCGGAGAATCTGTTCCAGAGCTAGGGTCCAGCTTTTCCACCTTCAACTTCTTCGTGCTTGGATTTGGGTTTTGCGTCTCTTCAATTGTAGCGCCAATGCCAGCGGAATTTCTTTTCCTCGTAGCTACAGGACTCAACCTCTTACTCACAAGTCCGCTAGTAGCTGCTAGCGCTATCTCAGGAGTATTATCCCCACTTTCTGCATTCACACCTACAGACTTGTTGAGCTTCGAAACAGTGTCAGGGCAAGTGTCTACTTCCGTCTTATATCCCGAACTCCGACGACGTCGAGAAGGGTCCGCCCATGTTGACTTAAATGAAGATAATTGGGAGTCAGAAGTTGGTTGCTTCGTATTCACACAGGGAAATTTTAGGGAGGCCTCTTTATCGTTGACCTCCGTTTCATAGGAGCCAATATGGATCTCATGAGGCCCATTGAAATTTGTTTGCTGGATCCCCGGTTCATCAGCTTGCTCGGACACACAATCCATATGATGGAATTTGGAAAGAATCCTAGCAGACTGGCGAGTTGGGCGTGGTATATGCAACTCAGCAACACTGCTCTCCGAAGCGATATCTTCTTTTGCCTTCTTCACTCTTTTCGCCCGCGGTGTTTGCGGATCTAAGTGTGTTTGAACAGAGAGGCTGTCGAGATTACTACCATTAAGGGATTTCGAACGGCCCCTAAAGACATGGCCTTTCCCTCTTGTGCGTGACCGTGAGCTACCACGACTTCCACCACGCGAGCGGCCGGTAGATGGAGAAAACGGTGAAGCTAGATGATTAGCGGTTAACAGGAGATATTCACCGGTGCGCTCCTGATAGTAACACTTACTCTGAGAAGAATCAGCACCAGATGCGCTGGCCAGCTCATGCTGTTGGTCCAGCTTGCGCTTAAGGCCTGTCATCATGAAAGGGAAGTGTTCTGGTATGTATATCCGCTATAAAGGGATGAGGTCAGTTCACGTGACCATAATTTTGGACAGTTCCAAGAGATGTTTTGGAAGAGTATGGCGAACTGTATTGGAGGGGAAAGAAGAACACAGAAGAGCAACAGAGCAGTCTCAGGAAAGAGGAGGAAAGAAAAAAAAGAAAACAATTGAAAGGCAAAGGGATTAAGCAACACCGCATCAGAGTATAACCACTCTCAGACAAAGTGCACTGCGTACCCGCGCCGGGAGTACGCCATATAGAACGGAGGCGTAGTAAGTTGTAAGCAGGAGAAGCCAATTGAGACTCTGGAAAAATGACCAAAGAAAACAGAATATACCAGACGACAAGAAATGAGACAATTGGAAATTAAGAACGAAGTAGTTAGTAAGAGACTGGAGGAAAAAGGACAACAGAATAAAGCAAACAGACAAATCAAATGACAACAAGAGAGAATATCACCAAAACCAAACACAACTGCAGAACATGATTTGATGATAGCTCTTTTTCTTTTTGTCAGAGAAAAGAAAGACAAAGAAGACTTGAATTTCCTCACATTCTCATTGGTCCAGGCAAGGGCGATTTTAATTGTGGCAAGTTTATTAATATTTTGAAGAGGCCAGCACTGGAGGCGTCGGAAAGCCCATCAATAAGGGATGTAGTTAACGTGCGCAAGCAAAAACCTGAACAAGGGACAAGTAAAGCTGTGAGACAAGGGGTTTTAAATGAGGTCCAATACAAGGTACGACTTCTGCTAGCAAGTGACAGTGAAAATTCCCGGGATGAGAACGAATAACTAGATCAAAATAAACGCGGGAGAAAGAGGACGAAGACGAAGAAGAGGAAGAAGAAAACTGAAGGAAGGGTAAGAGTAGGAGTTCTCAGGTAGGAGCAGAGATGAGAGTAAAAAAAATGAGATTTGCGACAAATTTAGAATTTTTGAAGCGTATCCGTAACTACTCCGTGAATGGGATGGGGATCAGTGGAATGGGGCTGGGGACTGGGGACTTGGAGACTGGGGACTGGGGT